AAACTTTTTAAAAAAATTACATTCAATACTATAATAATATAAAAATCGTAAATTTTCAATTGTAAAATATCTTTTTTATTATTATTTATTGCTAACAAACTCTTTATTGCTTTTATATAACTGTATATATATGTTGTATAGAATATTATCTTTAAGTTATTATAACAATACTAATATTACATTTATAATACAGATAAATGTCTCAAATTCCCTGTGCTTTCAATCATAAAATAGCATTTTAGTTATTAGTTATATATATATTATAGTATATATAAATATATACTGTATTTTTTAAACTATTATTATAATTTAGTTTTTATTGTAATTTACTAAATTTCATTTAAAAAGTTCAAATGTTATGCAAAGCTATTTAGCGATTTAATTATAATTTAATTATAATAAAATGTGTTTATGTTTTTAAATTATATTAAATTATTATTCATTAATATTAGTAGTATTATTACTAGTATTAAACAAACAATATTAGTTTTTTTTCGTCTCATTTTATGCTGTCATTTACTATTAAACATTTAATTACATTCAGTAATATATTTGCTTTCTCTGTATATTAAAAACTTAATAAACGCTTTTTTGTGTTGAAACTTGTGATGAATACTTAATTAACATTTAAAAATATATTGTGAACCAAAAATGTTTAACTATAAAATAATAATTAAGTACTGATTGGCTAAAACTATATTATAAATTAATGTTTATATATGTTTATTTAAGCATGTGTGTGTGTCTACATAAATATCATTTAAGATTATTAAAATTAATTGAATTGTCATATCTTTAGATATTTTATAATAATGTATTATGGATGAATTATATATAGAGATGGGCAAATAGAAAGTTTCTAATAAATTTCACTGAGAAAGTTTCTAGAAAGTTTCTCAGGAATAAATTTCTATAGAAATTTAACTTTTTTGTTATACTATGTGATCCCCATATCTATAGATATTGTAAAACTATCCACTTAACCTAACCCAAACTAACTAAACCTAATATTTAAGTGAATTTACTATTAATTTATTAGACTGTTTAATACTAATTACTAATAGACTATAATTTAGCAACATAATCTATTAATGAACCGTATAATTGGTCCCTTATACAATATGAGTTATACTAACAATACTGCTTATACGGATTTATATAGTATAATGTAGATCAGCCAAATATATTAATGAGACATATAATACTATACATATAATATTATACTATATAATGTAGATTACTGTATAATACTATATTATACAAATGGGATACCTATATAAATAATTATAATTATTTAATAATAATCAGTTTTGTAAAATTTTATTCACCATTTTATTATATCATAGTTTAATATAATTAAATAAATAAAGTTTTTACTTTAATTAATAATTAAAATACTAATAATAATATTTAAATATTACTTATAAAAACAATGTTAAAGATAACAAATATCGAGAAAACAAAATTAACCATGGGGATCCCATAAATAGAAATTTCTTTTAGAAACTTTCTAGAAATTTCTCTATTATTTTATAAATTTCTCTTTTTTGCCAACACTAATTATATATTTTTATATTGTAGACATAATCACATATTATAGCAATTAAATAAAAAAAAATTTGAAATCATTATAAAAACTCAATAGTTTTTTTAGATTTTATATTCTTAAATATATAATTCTGTATTGTTTAAAAATAACATAATAACATTTAATATGCCATTTTATATTTATAAACAGTATATAATTTACTGTACGTATTATTTATATATATATATGTATATTGCATAGATTTTATAGATAATAAATATAATACTGTACGACAATAACATTATTTCAAATAAGATTATTTTATCAAATGCTTATTTTACATAAATAATTAACTTAATTAGTTTTTGACAAATACGACATATAATTATTATTAAAAACATATTTTTTAAAATAAATTTTATGCTTTTAGTATGTAAATACATAATATACACAATATATAGTATATACATTATATATACTTGTACTATTTTTATTTATTTAATATAAACATAAACAATGTTATTATTAATATTTATGATTTTATTATGTTAATACTTTATTAATTTTAAATTTTTATTGTTTATATCATATATATATACAGTAATTATATATTTTTCTTATTTAACATTCTGTTTGTATTACAAAATGTTATAATATTAACAATATATTTTTATTATAATAAAAATATTTAAACTAAATATTTGAAATATTTTTAGTCTGTGTGTGTGTTACTGATTGTATTTTTCCATTTAATTAAATTTAATACTTATATTGTGTCTGTATTTTCATTTAAAATTAATTTGTTAATTTATACGTATATTTATTATTGTATTTAATTAGTAAAAATATTTCATAAAATATATAAAAAAGTTACTGTCAAAAATAAAAATTAATATATTTAATTAAATCTAACTTTAAAAAATAAATAAAAACAACTTATATATCATAAATAACTAAAACTATTGATTCATAAAAATTATATAATCATTTTTGTAGAGTATTATAGTGTAATTTAGTATACTGTATAAACTTGTAATATAAGTATAGATAAATAGTAAATGTAGAGGAAATTTATTAAAGTAGTGGAAAGTTTTTAGAAGAAATTTTCTAAAATAAATTGTTGTCTATATGTGATCCAAATAATAATTTTTTATTTTTATCTAAATTGACTTTTTTTCTCTCTCTAGTAAAACACAATGTTTTGAAAAGATGACGAAATCAATAATATTTTCACAATTTTCACAATTTTTTGTTTTTTTTTGTTTTTGGTTATCGATAACACAAATCAATATGTTTTTTGTTTAACATATTATATCAATAAATACTGTAGTTATTTGAATTGTTTGAAGCATAAGAGTGAGATTGAGAGTCAAAATGTTATTGTTTTAGATAATAAATTTCAATCAATAAAATTTTATGCTAGATTATATTATCAATAAAAATATTTTTATAAATTTATTTTAGAGTTATCTTATAAGATTTTATTTGTATATATCTAGAATTTATAAAAACAATATAAAATTAAACTGAAATATTATATTTATATGAAAACTTTAATATTTGAACTTTTATTTAAATACTAAAAAGATAAATAAGATTATTTTAAAAATTATTCAAATAATTTAGTAATTAATAGATAACAATTTTGTTTTTTTTAAATATTATCATCATGTAAAAATTTTTGTCTGTTTTTAAGTAATTACCAAAAATGCATTTATAGTAATTATACAAATTATGCATTCATTTCATATTTTATTAAAATAATATAATTTTTTTAACTAAATTCAAAAATTAATTTGACTGTCCAATTAAATTAATAATTAAAAAGTTATTTTATTAAATTCTATTATATTATCTATAAATTTATTTGATTATTCAATAGATTTCAAGACTACAGTATTAAACTATTATAACTATTAGATGTTATATTGTTATGAAATTGATTTTTATTTGCAAAAAAACATTATGTAATATATTTATTTTTAAATTGATTTAATTTACAAAAATGTTTTATTATTCAAATTGTGCTATATTGTTGTGGTTGTTATTATTATTATGTTTTATGAGATAGATAAAAAATATTTATATATTTTATATTTTGTTTTTTAGAATCTTATTTGTTTATCAAATAAAAAGTTTTAAAATTTGATTATTTTAAAGTTTTTATTTATTTGAGATTATTATAGAAATTAATATATATATTTTTTATTGAGTACTTTTTAATATAAAACGCTAAATTGCTTTTTCATATAACAAATTAAATTTATTAAAAAAATCATATTTCTAATTTGAATTTAATATAATAGTATAAATCCTAACTTACTGTAAGAATAAAATAAATTAAAATTATTACTAAAATTTTATTTTAGTAGATTATAATTATAGAATTCTATGAATTTATATCTTAATTAATTACAATTTTATAAATTAACAATTATTTGTAATTAGAAATAATACAAAAGTTAATATTTTTATTGTTTTCAATTTATTTGAAAAATTATTACAATTGATATATTTTAATTAAAAAAAATTACTAAAATAATCAATTATAATAATATAATTGAATAAGTATAGTAATTTATAATCACTATAATACAGTGTATATATATGTATTTATTTACTGTATATATTTTAAATTAACATACTTAAGCATACAATAAAATAAACTTATTTTTAACAATGAATTTTTATGTTATAAATGTTTTGTCATTATTTATTTAACAAAGCTTATATATCATTATTTTTTTAATAATAATTTGTGTAAAATTTAAATCATAATTAAATTGTCTCAAAACAGTCCGTTTCGACTAAATCTAAAATATATTTATAAATAAAATCTGTTTTTTACTTTTTATGCTAATTTAAATAAATGTAAATTTATTTTACAATTTCTTCAAAAATGTAAACTTTGGTTATCAATAGTTGACTTTATTGTAGAAATATATACAAAATTTATTTTACACTTTATATATTTTTGTTAAATTTAATTATAACCTTTGAATTATAACATTGCACAAAATAAATTTACTAAAAATAAAGTTAACAATAAAAGTAAAATTATCTTTATAGAGTTTCTATAATATTTTTTATTATATAATATAACATATATTTAGGGAAATTGATTAAAATTTCTATTTAGTCATTTCTAGCTATAAAAGATACTAAATTTTGTAAAAATCTTAATAATATATTTTAATATTGTATTTTTAAGTTTAATATAATGTTATTGTCATTGAAATAAATAATTCATTAAATATTAGAAAAAATCTATATAAAGAATAATAACAATTGTATTTTTTAAAAATTGATAACAATATAACAAATTTTATATTTAATATTAATTTAGATATAGTTATAGATAAAAAATGTTGTTACTATTACTTAAATTAATACCATTTTTTCTATTAATTATTATTATTATTATTTTAATGTATTTATTGTATTAACTATAATAATATTTTATGTACAATAGGTTGTATGGATCACGAGTTTCCCTGTAATGACACGTGTGTTGATAGTATCAAGAGATGTGACACTAAAATTGATTGCACCGATGGTACTGATGAACTCAATTGCGGTCAGTTATTGTCTAAACTTAATAATTTTATTAATTATATTAAATATAAATTCTCTAAATGTAATTTATGTTAATTTATCAGATTTTTTTTCAAATTTTTTCAGATCATTATTTTACTATTTAATTTTTCAGAAAAATTTTCACTAAATTATCACAAAGTTATTATATAATAAAATTATTTGTATATTATGTAATACAGTAATAGTGTTTTATTTTGAGTACAAAATTTTATATTAGCTAAATTATAGATAATAGAGATAAATTTAATTATTTTTATCGATTTATTTATATCTCTATAAACAATATATATATGTTATAAAAGTTATATATTATTATATATATATATGTTTCCTATTTAATGTCTATCTATCCAAACACACAAATACATACATATATACATAGTGTTTGAAATGGCAATAACTGTATCACATAATCGTAGAAAATATCATTTTTATGCTTCAAATGATTCACAAATTCGTGTCACATATAGAGTTGTGGTTCAAGTTTTCTATACACAAAAAGATATGAATTACAAAAAAACAATACAAATCAAAATAAATACAAACAATTTTTATCATTTTGAAAGCAACAAAATATTAACATTTTTGTGTATAAAATGTGAGATCAAAAGTGGGATTTTTTGGTAAATATTCTGACATCGGATTTATGGTAATAACAGATAATAAACAAATATTAAAAAATGTGTGAAAAAACAAAAAATAAATAAATAAAACTAATGTTTTAAAACATTGAATATCGTATATAGTTTTATTGATTTTATTGGATAAGGAAAAATATTTTTAAAAATTATTGTAACTCTTAAAAAGTTTATTGATTATTTTTTTTGCTGAATAAAACAATATTAAAATGATATTGTATTAGCATCCTTTAAAAAATTTTAAATTATATATTGTATTATTATTTTCTATTAAATATTGATCTTTTAGTTAGATAAACAATAGTTTTTTATATATAACAATATTTTTTATCTAAATATAATAGATTAAAATGAAATGAGTAATTTATTTGAGCAAAAATAATATTAAAATTTATTAATATTTAGTATCATTTAGTTTGTTGCTATTCAGTGATCTTTCAAAGTTTATTTTTTGAAAAATGCTATTTTTAAAGTAACTAAATATAAGTTGTTTTCCATTATATTAAGTATAATATATTAATATATCTATAATATATCATAAAAATCAATTTAAATTTTTAAAATCACAAAAAAATCCTTATTAAAAAATTTTCACTACTAATATAAAAACTAACAAAAAATAAAAATTACTTTTATTTTGTCTTGTTTTATAAATATTAATTTCAGAGACTATTATTTATGAATGATCTTTGTTATGCTAATATCTATGTTATTATTTGTTAATATAAAGAAAAGATTTATATATATAGATTAAATTTGCATAAAAATATAAAAATAAAAATAGTTTAGTAAATTTAACAAAAAATTAATATTATTACTAAATAATGTTAAAATTAACTATATTATTAACAATGATTTATTAACTTCATTTATGTAACTTTTAGTGATATTATTTAGATAATTTATTTTGATTATAATTTCATTATTAACATTATAAGTATTAGTTAATTATTGTAGAAAACAAAATAATCAAATATTTTATTAATAACATTAATTTAATTTAACAGTATATTAAACAGTAGTACTACTGTATATTATTGTCATTATTATCACTAATGCTTTACAGTCAATGCTAGAAATTGTTTTAAAAGAAAGTTATCTTTCAGGCGCTATAACTAATACATACATATTACTTATTCAATTTGTACGTATAAGTTAGGGGGAGAATCTATGAGTTGATTGTATATAAAAATTATATATTCTTTAGTTTAATATATATATAATATATTTATAGAGATATAAGACTATATACTGTAGATATAAATATATACATAAATAAATAAAATATATATAAATAAAAATAACATATAAAATAAAAAAACATAAAACATGAATAAATAACATATACTGTACTACATGTATATAAAATTTATTTATTATAATACTATATATTATATAAAGAAATGTAAATTTATGTTAAAATATATTATATGTTTGTTTACAGAGGGATACGTCTGTCCGGTGACACACTTCAAGTGCGACAATCATTACTGCATTCCCTTAGAAAATGTTTGCGATTTTCATAACAATTGTGGCGACAATTCTGATGAATCCAATTGCTGTGAGTGTCACTCATGTATTGGTATTCAATAAATACTGTATAAAAGTTATTGTTTGTCTTATATGTTAAAAGAAAATTAATCAACAAATAATATATATATATATATATATAAGCAAAATATTTATTGACAGTATTATTGATGAAAATGTTTGTCATTGACAACAAGCAAACAATGTTTGTTTGATTTTTTTCAATTTAATTACAATATCTTATATATAAATGGATAATAACCAGAAAATAATATATTTCTTTAAATAAAATGTTTTGTGAATTTAAATATTAATTAAACAAAAAAATGTCATTTTTATTTTAAATAATTTTTATAAAAAAAGATATTGAACTAATAAAAAATAAAATAGCTAAGATTGCTTTTATCATATAAAATTATTATAGATTTATACATATTATTATACGGCTTTTATACAATAAATACAGTAATATAGAGTATATTAAATTATATAAAAATTATACAATATTTTTGGTTTTTGTATTAAAAGCCTATTTATAAAATATATTCTTTTAAGAAAAAAGTTTTTATATAAAAATTTTTCCAAAAAAATAAAATAATTTATTTATAGATTTATATTGGCGATTATTTATACATTTTTCATACGGTTAATGTGAGCACATAAAAACTTCAGCTCTCATTTTATCTGAATTTAGTCATATATTTTATATCAATTTTTTTGTTAGCTATTTTGTAGGTTTAAATATTGCATTTATTGGCTAAATAATATGACCATATGTTTGAACAGTAAATCATTACTCATTGGGAAAAAAAATCTCGTGTTACCATAAAATCTTTAAGTTATAAATATTTTTTTTCCGATAAAAATATAAATTTCTATATTAGATAGTATATAATAATGAAACTCTTCATATATTTAAACTAAAAATAATCACAATTTCATTGTGAAAGAGATATCTCTTATTAGTTTTGCTTTCATTTGCAAATCGATAGATTTTTTTTTATTTAACAATGACAGTCAATCGATGAGCAACTTTTTTTATATCATATAAATTGCACATACAGTTTGCACAAGTATTTTGTAATACAGTATATCTATTACAAAAAAGATCATTAATAGATTATATATAAAGTTGTTTATTTTAATTTTATTTATATAATAAACCCTCTATATTTATACTATTATTTTTACAAATAAAAATAAAAACCGTACTAATATTATATATATGATATATATATAATAATAATATTTAATTAGTTAAAACACAAATTTATATATTAAATTAGATAATTTTGTTGTACAATTTTATATATGATTTACTAATAATATACTATATTAGAAAATAACAAAATAACATGTGTCAACATATATGTATTAACATAGGTTTACTAATTACTGATTATATGAATACAGTATATTTAATAAATATAATTAAATTATGATTGATTGCATAAAATTTATTTTTTAATTATTATTATTATTATTATTAAGCACATCGGCGCTGTTGGTTTGGTGAGTACACGTGCGATAGCGGACAGTGTATTCAGGCCTACGCCGTCTGTAACGGCAATAATGAGTGCATCGATGGCAGCGACGAAAAGAGATGTCATCCCAACGGTATTAGATTTTTTTAAAATATCATTTATTATATTATTTTTTTAATTAATTTAAATGGTTATAATTTATAACTTAGTTGTCAAATAAAAACATAAAATTGAATTTACACATTGTATTATGTAATTAAAAAACAAACACAATTTAAAATCTTATTTTTTAATAGTCATATTGAATGAATCAAGATTTAAATTTTATTTTAAAAGTGTCTAAAAATAAACTACAAAACAATTTATTTATTCAATTTTGTTGTTAGAATTTATAAAGTGTATAGAAATATACAGAGATTTAAATATAACAAATTGAATATTAAAGACTATTTTTGGCAGAAAATTTACAATTATATTATTTATTATATACTAAAAATAATGTATAAATATATTAAACTAGATTTTGTAAAATGTGGATCCGGAACATTAATACATCGAAGTTTATGGTAATATTAAATTGTAATTAAAAATATTTAATAAGAATATTTAAAAAGTTTATCATCTGAAACATACAGGTGCGATGGCAAACCTGACTGTCCCGATAATCACGCTGATGAACAAAATTGTAAGTTTATTTTATTATTATTATTATATTAATTGGTAAAAATGTGTATTACATATATTTAAAATTGTATAATATTTGAAAATTGTCCAAAAAATCAATATTGCTTTAAGCTGTATGTATGTATGTGTGTGTGTGTGTGTGTGTGTGTGTGTGTGTGTGTGTAATATTTGTTATACTTTATTCAAATAATATATATTTATATATAATCTATTTATAATTAGTTAGTGTTTGCTAATACAGTATAATTAGTCATTAATATTATTTTTGTTTCAAATTTCATTTAACCTTTAAGTGAATATCTATTAATCCAATAGTACTTATATTTATAAATAATTTGTTATAAATTAATATAAATGTTTATTTTTATTGTTTGTATTTTTTTGCTCCAATAGATTTTAGTATTAGTTTTATCTGACCATTAACATTTTTAAATACATTAGATATTATTATTGATACAATTATAGAAACGGGATGTAATTTTTTTTGACACAAAAATAGACTATTGATTTATAGACTTTTAATATAAATTACTTTATTTTATCTATCTATAGCATTATCTTAGATATTTTTAATTTACTATATATAAATTAATTATACACTATATATATAAAATCTATTTTACTAATTATTCTCAATAATAAACTTGTAAATGTTTAATAAATAAAAATTAACTAATATACTGTATTATTTACTTTAGTTAAATAATTAATTTAGATAAGATTATCAGATAAAAATGTCTAGACTATTTGTTGGCTATTATTTTGTTGAATCTCCTTGATCAATTTATCAAGTTATTTTTAATAAATATTTCTAATTTCATTGACTCCTATGTTTATTTCAAGATTATATGAACGCATATCTAACTCAGTTATTTAAAAAATGTCAAATATTTAATTAATAATTTTTTTTATTATTATCAATGACTAAATATTACTTAACAAATTATACAATTATTATTGAAATTATGTTGCGTTAAGTTATTTTTTTATCTAAAAACAATGATAGTATAATAAATTACAGTTATACAAACAGTTATAGTTTAAAAAAATTAATTAATTATGTGTTTGTAAAAGAATTATTGCGAAATATTTTATCTAAATTCATATACATTATAATAAAATTCTGTTATAAATATTCAACAATAAAAATAACATTAAAATATCATCAATTGATTTAAAGTACGCAAATAAAAGAAAACATAAAATTTACAACTAATAAACCGTAATACAAATTGAAGTACTTTAAATAAAAAGGTTATTAAAACAATATAATAACTTAGTTTAAGTAAATAATGTTAAAACAATAATATAAAAATAGTTATAATTCTGTGTTATTATTATCGTATTGTTATAAAAACAAAAATAGTATTAAAATGTTTTAATGAAAAGAGTATTTATCATCAGAAAAATATATAAATTCAATAATATCAACAAGTATTACAAATACTATACAAGTTGTTATAATACAACATAATCTAACAAAACATTAGCAAAATTTAAATAACAAATTTACATTCAATATAGTTTTGTATATCAAAATATTTGTTCAATTGTTTTGTTGTTGTTTTTAAATAAAATATATTTTTATCTAACAAATATAAACAGCATTAATATAAAGTTTGTGATTAACATAACTTTTCTTATTATTATTTTTTTGTTAATGTCTTATGTCTTATGTTTTAGTTAATTTTGAATTTTTGTAAAATAAATGTACAATTTTATTTTACTTTTGAATACATACATACATAATATTTTTACAATTTGACTTACAATGTATAAGTTGTGAAATAATTCAATGGGAAATATATAAAGTGTATACGGTATTATATATATATATATATATAATGCAACAAATATAAAACAATATAAGTAACATATCTTAAAATTCAAATTTTATGCAAATTATGTATTAAGAAATAATCTAATTTTTAAAAATAGATATATATATATATGAATTTTTGTTAGATTAGATTATACAGAAAGATACGGCATATTATAGTGTAATATATTACAATCGCATTATTTATTAATATAATGTTATGTTTTACAGTATTTGTCATTATTATTATTTTACGACTATTACTGCTAATATTAATGAGCATCTGATAATACCAATTACAACATCGTTATTATTATAACAAATAATTTTATACTGAATTGTAATATGTATTTGAAAATAATAATAATTTATCTCAATTTTCAAATTACAGGTCGAAATTGTACCGAATATGAGTACCGGTGCTCTAACTCCCGGTGCATTCCTAATGGAAATCTGTGCGATACTGTATGCGATTGTGCGGACACGTGTGAAGATGAAAAGTTGGCCGATTGTCACAACTATTACACACAAATTAATGGTTAGTTACTCACTCACTCACTCACACAATATTTGTCAATTCATTAATATTTTACACAATTTGGAAAATTCATTGATATTATTTTACTATATATTTATAGATATATCTAAACTTTATATATTATATACACTTTTTTAACGCAACTATCTGTTAGAAGTTTTTAAGTAATAAAAAAAATTATACAAATGTTTCGTTATTTTTTGTGATCTGAAATCTTACTTAATCTTCATTTGAGTATCGAATTGATGTTTTTTTTTTTGGTTTTATCGCTTATGTGTTAGAAGTACAACAAAAAACATTAGACTATTTTCTTATATACAATATATATATATATATATATATATTGAGTTATAAATAAATAATTATATTTTATATGTTTAGTAAGCGCTAATCATTAAGTGAAAAAAGGTCATATAAAAAATCTTACATAAAAATCTCTTATAAATAATTACAAAACAAACCTAAAATACAATAACAAATCATCTAATGAAGTATTATATATTAATATATGTTATAATTTATATATATATATTTATTTATAGAATTAAAAATTGTAAAATACATTTAATTAAAACTATCTTAAAGTAATATAATTAAATACTTAACTAATATTTATAAATAGATATATATATATATATATATAAATTAATGTTTATATTTTTTTATCAACAATTATTGAAAAATTGTAAATTTTCTCTATTTATTGTTATATTTTTATAGTTAACTATTTTGAAAATGTTACGTAAATAAAATTAAAATTTAATTGAATTATAATGAATAATTTCAACTAAAATGTATGAAATATATTTTTAAAAGTATAAACATCAACTTTAAATTATTTTAATAAAAAAGCACTTAAAATAAAATTTTTATTTATTATCAAACAATGCAATTTCGATTTAAAATATTTATAATTAAAATTTTTAAAAATTAAATTATTATTTAAATCTTAATAAATCTGTAAATATTTCAGATTTTTTTAATACAAATAATCTAAAAATTACTTTTTTAATTATTTAACATTAAATATTTATGTAATAATATAATATAAGCGCATATTATTAATGTACAGATTATTTTTTAGTATAAATTAAATTTATAGTATACAGTAAATATTTGTAATATTTTACAATGAAAAAACAATGTGCCTATTATTTAGTCTGGCAATGCTAGACTTAACTTTTGCAACATGTTTTTATAATTAAAATAATTTTTAAATTGTTATAATTTTTAGATATGTCTACATATTTTAATACAGTATGTTTACGATATTATGACAAATTAAAACATTTACATAATTATTGCATTTTTATTAAATTTTAATTGAAATATTTTCATTTTATAATTTAATAAATTTATAAATATAAAAACTATTTATTAACTATTACTCATATAAAGTGAAACATTAGAGTACTTAAAATTTTACTTAAAATTTTTATTTGCTAAATAAATCAGATTACAATTTATACAATTATTTATAGATATCGAAAGTAAATCTATAGTTAAATAAATTAAATCTTAATAAATCGTAATCATTATATACAGTAATACCTCAATTACATTCAATTCTTTTTGATAGTTAATATCTCGACAAATATAAAGTGAAATTTTATCAAATTTTCCAATAAAGAAGTAAATTTTTTACCCAAAAGTATTCCATAATTTTTCATCAAATTATATTTAATAGTTTTAGAATTATAAAAGAAATTATAAAAAATTATTCTCAAAAAATTATGTTCAAATTCAAGTGAACTATTGAAATGAACTTAAATATTGTTGACATCAATATTGAATTTAATGGGAGATTTTTTTTTAATTTTATTTTTATTTTATTAGATTTTTTTTTAATTTTATTTTTATTTTATTAGATTTATTTAGATATAATTATAAAAGTATTAAAGATAATTTTTTGAAAAATATATGGGATATTCTTGGGAAGATTTATTTCATTTTAGGGAAAATTTTTGTAAAATTTTACTTTATAATTTTCAAGATATTAACCCTCAAAAAAATGATTGGATTCAATTGAATATAACTGTATATCGTATTAAGTATTAGAGAGAAAAAAAACTTATAATATCTGAATTGATTTTTTTTTTGATGACTTAAACTGAACCGATTTATAATTGTTTATTAATTACTTAGAAAATAATTATAAATAGATTATATTATAATATAGAAAATTACAATAGTGATAATTAATTAAATTATTTATTACTAATATAAATATCATAATTTTATTTAAAATTAAATAATTAATTTTATTGCATATAGTTTCTGATGTTTTAAATCTCATAACATTATTATTAATAATAATATTATAAGCATATTAATAGCAAACCACAAAAAAACTATTTGCAAAAACCAAAAAAACTGATCTCTGATATTATAAATATAAGATGAGTTATAAGAGATATAATTTTATATAATTAAGTGCATGTTATGAGTGCATCCTATTAGAGGATCAACGACTAAATATACAGTACATTATAGCAGACTAACAGAGATTAAACAAACTAAACATTTAGATAAATAAAAACAACTAATATATTTTGTTATGTTAAATTATCATGATAATTTATTTATATATTTATTTATGTTGTTTGTTTTTTTTTGTAATTTAAATTGCATAATAGTAACAATACGACCAAACAACATAAAAATCAGATACCTGTATAATAATTATCTCTATTTCAAACATCAAATTACCGTTTATTAAATTATAATATATTTACAAAACATTAGTCGATAAAAAAAAAGTTAATTAAAAACTTTTTTATTTTATTTAATCTTATTTTGATCACTATTTGATAACACTGTTTTTTGTATAATGAATTAAAATTAGCTATTATTTATTATTTCTATCTTTAAATTTTTTTTAGGTCTCAGTGTATGCAAGAGGTCATCGACAGTTGCCTGTACTCTATCGGATAATGGAAAGGTAGTCGAGCGGTGCATTGCCATCAACTACACGTGCAATGGATTCAATGATTGTCTGAGAAATTTTGCCGACGATGAGTACGGCTGCGAATATGGAGGTAAGGGATCGTTCAGACAAACAAACAAATCTATGGCTGCTCTCAAATATCAGCACAAGTGTTATTTATTTAGCTAACTAAGCCTAATAAACAAACAAATAGATGCATTACAAAATGCATAGTATATACATGTATATAATATATTTCTCATTCAATTGTTTTTAATTAAATTTATTGCATTTATAATAAATGGCTTCTCCTTTAATATATTGTTGATAATATATTTCGATCAATGACTGTTTGTCTCCGAGATATTTATGTCATTTAATATATATATATATTTGTGTGAAAATACTGTATTTGCCAATAGTCTCGGTTTGTGAAACAATTATCTGAAAACTTTATTGTTGTTGTCTATGTTTGTTACAATTGTTTTTTTATATAATTTTGGTTTCCAAATTAATTTTCTGCTAAACTATTGACTATAATGTTATATACAATACAATAAGTATATTGAATATCGATTTCATTGTATTGTATGCATACATACATTCAAACATAACAATCATTGAATACATTAAAAATATCATTCGAGAGACACTTAACATAATAGTTATCAATAGCTGTTTTTAACATTTAATATAAAGATCTTTTATATATATATATATATATATACATTATTAATTGTATAAAAAAATATATTTGTTAAATTCAATTATTATAACATTTTTATTATTACTTTTTTATCATCACTTTTATCACTTATAACCACAATTTTAATTGAATTTATATAATTTATTTTTATTATAACAGTTAAATGATTTTATTAAGCAATAGATAGTATACAGCAGCAGTACTGTATAAAATAAATTATAAAGAGTATTGTATATTTTATTTATTAATTATTTGGTATTTAACACTATCTTATATCAAAACCATTCAATATAATAGTTGTATTGAATATAATTAATATAATTCTAATAATTCAAGCCTTATATAAATTATAGAATAAAATAATATATTTAATGATTATCTTTAAATTATTTCTATCAAAATATTTAAATTAACATTTTGATAAATGATTCAATTCAATGATAATACTGAATACTCTGTATATAAACTTGTATATTAAATTGAAATGATAAATAAGTTTGTATTAAAATTTTCTATAATATATACAACAATTTATATCAATATTATAGAAATAATATGAAATCAATAAGAAATCAATTGATTTATAACATGACTGGATATTAAACATATGGTGAGCACAAACACACACACACACACACACACACACGTACATACATACAATCACACACACACACACACACACACACACACACACACACACACACACACACACATACATACAATCACACACACACACACACACACACGTACATACATACAATCACACACACACACACACACACACACACACGTACATACATACAATCACACACACACACACACACACACACACGTACATACATACAATCACACACACACACACACACACACACACACACACACACACGTACATACATACAATCACACACACACACACACACACACGTACATACATACAATCACACACACACACACACGTACATACATACAATCACACACACACACACACACACACACACACACACACACACACACACACACACACACGTACATACATACAAACACACACACATACATACACTCTTACATAGAAACTTAGATAATAGTTTATATATGAAGTGAAATGGTTTAATCAATTGACAAATGAAGTGACAATTTATGAGTCCGTTTTTACTTCTAGTCTATCATTACTTATTGATGAACACTAAGCGAAACCCAAATGTCGATCACAAAAACAGCTATAATAAGCACAAAAAAATATATATTATTTTTAATCATTAATTATTTTAGATTTCTTCATTGCATTTTTGTATATCCATTAGTTTTAATAATAGAGTGTAAAAATAAAATAATAGAGAGTAAAACACTAATATTACACTATGTTTTTTTTAGCAAAATCATTATTTATTTAAAAATTTTGTTATGTTTCAATCAATACATCAATACATTATGCATAAAAAATTTTATGATATTTTTCTAATAAAAATAAAATTTTAGTTTTAAAACAAAAGTATAAATTATTGATATCAGAAAAAAATAACTTAATAATATAAATTATATTTTTCATGTGAAATTATGTTTAAAATTTAAAAATATTTTAGTTAATCAAAATAATGATAGTATATGATGGATTATATTAAATCATATTACTAAATTTGGTTAATAAATTATTTATTATATTTATATTTATCATATACTGTATGTATTAGTATAAAAATTATTACTTTTATTTTAAGGATTATTATTTAGATATTCAGTTTATTTATTTTTATTATTTCTAAATTTCTAAATTGTTTATATATAAATTTTAATTTTTAAAATAATTTTTGTAATATTAATAGATTTACTACATCATAGAAAATCTCTATATTTAGTGTATTGTATAATAAATTTCATTTTGCACTCAAAAACAACATAAAATATGATTAACTTTATGATAAAAAGTTTTAAACTACTTTATAAAATAAAATTGTCAAATATTTGATATCATTTTGGTTTTAACGTTAACAAACATTTATGACAATATAATCTTTTGAGAATTTTTTTATTATTGTTTTTTATTTTTTGTGCAAATTTTTAAAATAAAATTTTCAAACCAAATGGAGACCAAGTTTTTTAAATAAATATATTTAAAATAAATGTGTGTTTGTTTTGTACAAATCCCCCAATGATTTTCTCCAACAATACCAATGTTTACGATATTTTAGTTTATAAATTAATAAATATTTGTTTTTGTTTAACCAATGTAGTAATAATAATAATAATAATATAATACCGGTATATATATATATATTATTTCTAACCCATTTTCATCTATAATGTCGGCAAAAATAGAAAATTATAAAAATAATAGAGAAATTTCTAGAAAATTTCTAAAAGAAAGAATTTGTTATCTTGTTTTTTATTGTCGCCTATTTTTGCTAAACTTATACCATATATTAAGCGTAAAAAACAAAAATCTAATACAAAAACATTTGACTACATTGTGACGGGAGGAAAGTTACTTTAAATAATGAAAACTTATTTTATTTACTGATATTATTAAATGATAATTAAAATATTTGTTTATTAATAATTACTTTAAAACAATATTTTTATTTAATAAAATATCTTTCAATAATCTTTGATTACCAATAAATATATTTTTGATAACCGAGGGTTAATACACTGAAATCTAAGATAATGGGATAAACTTATGGGAATAAATATTAAATTAAATTTTATTAATAGTTGTAAAATTGTTATAAAAATCTATAATCTTTAATTAGTTGTCCACATGTAGTATATTCCTATTCGGTAAATATACTGTAGTGTATATTATGTCTCATTAATATATAAAGTATTACAATAAGGGATTACATGTAGGGATCCCATAGTATAACAATAAAGTTAAATTACTATAGAAATTTATTCATGAAAAATTTACTAGAAATTTTCTCATGGAAATTTATTAGAAATGTCTATTTGACCATCTTTATATATAGACATCTATTTACTTATTTTTTATGTAAATTTTATATTAAATAACAGTAATACAATATTTTATATTTAATTAAAAATAGTTAATAAACTATTATATTATTATTATTAAAAATAAGTTATAATAACACTAGACTTTAAATGGCTATAATAATGGCAATATATCCTCTCAAAAAAAAACTCTATTACTAGTTATTTTTCAATTATCAGTATATTATTATTATTATTTCCGGAATCAAATTAAACAAATTTTGTTTGTATAGCAATGTTTTTCAATTAAATAACTGCTGGTTTTAACAAGAGTTATATATATACAGTTATATTGAATTTAATTATATCAATATTTTCAAATATTAATATAGTAACTTGTATTTGTAGTAGTAGTATATTGTATATTAATTATTAACCAAAAATGTATTTATGTTAATTTGTAATATTTAATTATTAAAAATATTTCTAATTTATTGCGTAAGTAAATAGTTTATGACATTTTGTTTAATTATGCAGTATTTAAAATATTTGAACAATTATTATTAAATAATTAATATTTTATTGTTATGTTTAAATACTAATAATAAAAATAATTATTAGTACAAACATTAAACATGATTTCTAGTATAATAAGTGAATTGTTGCTATAATTATCGAAATAGTTAATAAATAATTAATAGACTATTAAAAAATCATTTAATATTATTATCATATTTTACAAATATATACTGATACTAATAAATTGTAAATTTGATTCATATCATACTTTTACATTATTTATATGTAATATGTTTTTGTCAAAATATAAATAGATATTTATAAAAAAAATTAATCAAGCTTTTACATAAATATTAAATATAAAACAAATAGCATTTTAACTAATTTTTCCAATATATTAGTAAATATGATATAACGTTATAATATTGTACTATTTATAATTTTTTCCGTTAGAAAAATGATAATTATTTTAAATATTTTTATCTATTATGGTTATCATTATTTGCTAGATATTTGATACCTGTAGTATTTTCATTTATAAAAATTTATATTTTAATAAAGTAAAATTATAGTTTTGTTATTTATTAAAAAATTTTAGGAAAATTTTATGTCATAATTTATTTGTACATAATATTGCACATATTTCATTGACTATATTATTTATTTCATATACTGACATATATTCATATATTATGATGAAATCAAATATTTAATATTATTAATATTGACAAATAAAAAAATTAGATTTTCTTTTAAGAAATCTAATTTTATTCAATTTGCAAATTACTTTTTTTCATTATTAGTAATAATAATAATAATAATAAGATACAGTATATGACTATTAATGTGTTTGATACAGTATTACAATATGATCAAAAAAATTTATGGATACTTAACTATAATAGTATAACATATTTTTAACGTTTTTATTACTACTGAACATAAAGTAAATTTGAAACTACAATAGATTTGAAATATAAAACCCATAACTTATGGGAAAAATTAAATGGAAAAACAATTTTAGGATATATTTAATATTTAATTAAAACAATCATAAATTATGGCTTATTTTAAACCAATCTCTCAATTTTTATTCAATTATTTTTAAAATGTCAATTATTATTAGTAACTAATATTTAGTTTGTATATTATAAACTGTAGTGCATCACATTTCACATTAACTAATACTAATAATAATATTATTATTATTACTTTATAGATTAACTTTCATATAATACTGTATAATGTTATACCAATATAAATTTAATGTAATTAGTTTTAGTTTCAATTTTATTAAATTTATTTTTTTAAGTATCTTTGCAATTGTGTAACCACAAACGTTTTAAGTTAATTTTAAAGTTTTTATTTTATTTAAGCACTTTAATTGTTAAAAATATATATTTAAAAAAAAAAATATTTTGTAATTGGGTAAAAAAATCATTAAAAAATATATTTCATGTTTGACATTAAATTGTTCAATTTAAATTGATGACAAATATTTTATATATATATATTGTATGAAATTTTTGTTGTAATTCAACAAATTGAAACATCAAATCTACTAACAACTACAATAAGTTTTTTTTGTTACTTTTTTATGTGTCAACAAATCGCTAAAATTTGTTATTAATTTACTTTATTTATTAAATGTTTTTCACTTAAAATGAAAAATTATTTATCGGAAATCAAAATTTGATAATCATTAGTGTGTGTGTGTGTGTGTGTGTGTGTGTGTGTGTGTGTGTGTGTGTGTTAAAAGTTTATACTATATTGATATATTATATAATAGTTTAAGTGATTGATTAAAGTACATTAAGTAAATTTGTTTGTATTTTTGGAAAAAATATAGTAATTTATTTGTTTTTTAAATATCATAAATATTGGTTGACCACCAATTATATCTAAATAACAACTCAAATAGTAATTTTGACTAACAATGTGTGATATATAGGTATAAAATTTTGAACCTTGAAAAAATAATCATATTGATAAGTTATAATAAATAATTTATTTTTTTGAACATCTAATTTATATAAAGTTTGAAAATTTTGTAATATATGATATAATATGATATACAAAAATGTATGATAATATGGTTTAATAAAATTTAGTAGATTAAACATATATATAATGTATTTACTGAAATATTTATGCAAACATTATGTATTTGAACCAACATTAGCTTTAGGTAAAATATTTTTAAAAATTATTGTTGCAATTTATTAGATGTATAAATCAAAACAAAATAATTGATAGTTTTTATAGTCTTTAATGGGTTGTAATGTAGTAATTAGTAAAATATTAAAATACTGTCAAAACATTTACAACATTTAGACGTTTAATATAATTGACACAAAAAAGCGCTGTAAATAAAATGAAAACTATTTATTATATTTTGGTGTGAAATTAAATGTCACTTAAATTGTTACAAAAAAAGTTATTTTATTTATCCAAAAAATTAAACGATTGATTGGGTTTTATTGATAAATAATGTGTTGAGACAATGATAGTGGTTGTTATTGTGTTGACAACATTTGTCGTTTGGGTTTTTTTTAGTTATAAATTACTTCAAAATGTTTCATCAAACTGTCACTAACTATAGCCATTAATAGCCATCAATATAGTATAGGTATTGTTTAATAAGACAATTGTTTGACGCAACAAAAATTTAGTTGTTTTACAAATTATAATTGTAAACAACAGTTTACTGGTATTTTGTAGCTTTATATATATACCAGTGTGTAAATCTAAAGACGGACGATTTAAATGTTTAATAACTTAAAAAGTATAAAAGATATTTTAAACAAATAACGTTTAAAATAATAAGGAATAGTTATAGTTTATGAAACTAAAATTTAATAGGTTCCACCTCCTTTAAAAATAAAAAATATAGTCGATTTTGTTTACATGTAATTTAGATAAAAATACTAAAAAATAGAAAATCTGACCATGATAAATAATCAAATTTTTTTTCTATTTTATTTCTTTTAGTGTCTATAGTGTAAGGAAAGTATACTTTAATTAATTTTTCAAACCATCAATTAAAACCAAGACATTTATTAATTAAGAAAATTTAGATATTTTTGTATGTAATTTTTGAAAATGTCCCCGCCTCCTTAAAGTTTGAGGAGGTCAAATTTATCAAAATTTATTTTCATAAACTATAACTATTCCTTATTATTTTAAACGTTATTTGTTTAAAATATCTTTTATACTTTTTAAGTTATTAAACATTTAAATCGTCCGTCTTTAGATTTACATACTGTATATATATAATTATCAAATTTAAGCAATTTTAAAATGTGTTTATATTTTTAGTATTTTATCTAATAAAAAAATAATATACAGGTAAATATTCAGTAAATTTATAAAAATAAAAACTATACATTAAACTATACATTATATGATTATCATCTCATTCACAAAATCAGCTTGTCAAAATATATATATATATTTTTAAATTTGAGATTTTAGTTCAGTCAACCTATTAACTTCATTGCAAATTGACGAGTGTGTCAGCAATATAAAATATATACTATATATATATATACAGTATATATACGGTATATTTTTATATATAATAATCCCCATTGACTTTAACATTAAGTTACTTATTTTTATTTTGAATGTAACCTAACCTGAACTATGTATTGATATACACAATGTAACAAATACAGTATTATAAGGCTATTTTTAAACTTAAAGTATAAAAAAATATATATATCTTTTTTTTTTGAAAATATAGTCGAAGTAGTTTTTATTGTAATGGATACGATATATTGTATGTTATTTTTTTAAAAATTATTTGAAAAAATATTGATAAGTATCCGTTGAGAATTAAATATATATATATATATATATATATATATATATATATATATATATATATATTATATGTAACAATGTATTATATACAATATTATACATACATAGAATTTCATATAAATATATTGTATATTTTTTCTAAAAAATATAACTTTATATGGATTTAATATCTCCATATAAAAGCCTTCTGGTAATTCATTTGTTTGTTTGCTTTTAAAAAAAATATTTTATCAATAATCAATTAATTGATTGTACTGTACATTTTCAACCTAATGTTTTTTAATAGGATATACTGAAGATAGTTGTAAATCATTGGACGACCATTTTTGGTGTCCGACCGAAAAGCGCTGTCAACCACAAGTAATCCGTTGTAATCATATACCCGAGTGTTTAGACGGTGCCGATGAAGTCAATTGCGGTTATTATTATTATTATTATTATCAATTAATATCTAATATTTTATTTGCTAAATTACTACTACTACTGTAGTGTTGTTAAAACTTTTAATTTTATATATTTTTAAATATATTTTTTTTGGATATAATAGATTACAATAAATGCGATGGCTTTTTGTGCACAAACAGTCAGTGCATTGAATCGACTAATAGATGTAATGGTATTATCGATTGTTATGATAAAAGTGATGAAACATTTTGTGGTAAGCCTTTTAACAACGAGTTTTTTGGCATTTTTATCTCTCTCTCTCTCTCTCTCTCTCTCTCTCTCTCTCTCTCTCTCTCTCTCTCTCTCTCTCTATTTCTCTCTATTTCTCTCTCGATTTAAGTTGTTTATGATTTGTTATTTATTTACTTAATTTTTGTTGTTTTGGTTGAAAAATAAATTAACTTAATATCATTTGTTTTTATATTATTATTATTTGTTTTTCACATTAACTGTTTTTTATAGATGACTACAAATGTATGAATGGGTCTCATAAGTGCAATTCCGGTCAATGCATTCCAAGTAAGCGTTATTTAGAAATATTACAATTTATTTTTATATCGAAAATTTCAGTAATTTTGATTTATATTGTAATTGAATGTCAAGTATTGTTGATAATATATATACAATATGATTATGTCTATTGTTATATAAATATTGTAGTAGTTTTATTGTTAAAAAATAATTGAAAGTATGCATAATAAAAAATAATGCTGATTTAAATTCCTATTAAAATTTATATTAATAATATTATTTATTTTTGGATCAGATATTTTTAAAATGCTGTTTGATTCATACATAAAATATTTTTTAATATAAATTTTCAATTTAACAATGAAAAATTAAATCTTAAATATATCATACATTTATTAAACTCATATTATATATTGATTATAAAGTTCTATGGATACTTGTTATTGAATTGAATTTTATAAGATATTCATAAAATTATAACATTTTTGAAATGCATTCAAAAATATTATCTTTAAACAAAATTGATATCATAAAAGTAGTGTAGATTTTATATAAAATAATATATGATATTCAGTATACATTTATATTTTATATATTATTTTATTTTATAAAGATATGAGAGAATCTATTTTTATTTTTTAAAATCAAATATTGAGATAATATAAAGTTTTTGTTTTGTTTTTTTTCTTATAATAGTAAAAAATTGAAACAAATGTTAATATTTTAAGATAAAATTATCATACTTTTTGATTTGCTAATAATAAATATATAATTTATATTTAAGTTTTATTAAACATGATATTTATTATGTTTGATTGTTTTATTATTGATTTATTAAAATTTTAATATTTTGTTTTTCATTATTATTATTAAATTTGCTTATATATTGCTTAATATTTTGCTTAAATTAACTTTAAAATAATTACAAAATTTATTATTAAAATTTTTAATGGAATTTATTTTTTTGCAATTAATTTAATACCATAAAACTTGAATAAATATTTTAGGGATCAGGAAATTTTTTAATTTTATAATGATTTACTTAAGTAAAGTGATTTATTAATTATTAAAAATTTTTAAGTTAAAATATTATTATAAATCATGTCAACAATAATTTATTATTATAATATCATTAATCTAAACTTTGAGTTATTTAAATAAAATGCATTGAACTAAATAAAACAAAAAACATTTCGCAAAACTTTTTAATAGACATTATATTAAATGTCATTTTAATTAAGTTTAGACCAAACGATAAGAATTTAATTAAACATTATTCATGACAAACATGTAATGATATAAATGTTTAAAATTTATGATTATATTATTTGCTGATTGTTTAGTAGTCATGAATACCTAAACCAATGGCATCATTAATATTTAGGATTTAATTAATTTTATTTTATTAAATTAAATATATTAACCACCACTTTCTTTGAATGAGATATTCAATTAATCTGGTGTTTATTTAAGTGTATCACTTAATTATCATTAAATATAATATAAATTTTTGTTTAGTAATTAAAATTAAAAAAAAATTATTGAAATTATTTTGTTAAAAATAATTATGTTTGCAATTAATCACAAATTATAGAAAACTATTGGTGCGATTATGTAGACGACTGTCCCGACAAATCGGATGAACTGAACTGTCCGGACAAGTACTCCGAGTGCTCTACCGATGAGTTTCGCTGCGATAACGGTCAGTGTATTGGTCTAGAGTTTCGCTGTTTGGTAACCGCCGATCATCGATACGGTTGCGCCGATAGATCCAATTTGAGGAACTGTTCGCATTGGAAGTGCGCCACCGATCAGATCAAGTGTGCCAACAGTTACTGTGTGGACGGACAGCTCAAATGTAACGGCAAAATTGAGTGCCCAATGCTTTCCGATTGGGCCGATGAGGAAAATTGCCGTAAGATTGATATCAGAATTAAAAACCAATAATAATAAAAAAATATAAGATTTTTTTAAAAAAAAATATGGCATTTAAAAAATACAGTTATATTAGCTCTCACTTATCCTAATGTCTGTCTATACTGTATATTGTCGCCAAACATTACTTTTGCCTTCAATTTATCGATAAATAAATACTTAACTTTTGCTTTTATTGAGTTTTGTTTGTCTTTATTTTGATTTTGTTTTTTATTACTTCAAAAGTCCAAAAGTAATATTTTTTTTTGCAAAATAAAATCAATTTTAGCTCAAATTTTTCGTATATATATATTTTATCAAAATAAAAACTTTTTATGACTTTAACCAACAAAGAAAAAAACTGAAAAACAAAACAATTTGAGATGACTTTTAAATTAACTTTTTTTTGCTAAATGTAATCCATTTTAGGGCCACTAAAACATTTCAATTAATGTCACACTATTAGTATTAAACTAGATTTTTGTTTTGTTTATGATAGTTGTATTCAATTATAAATATCTATTAATAGTTTTATGTTTTAGTATTTTATAATTTTTTTGGGTACGACTTTATTTTTAATATAAATCTATAATTTAATTATATTCAGATAATTTATCATTTTTCTACAAATAGTTGACTATAAAACTTTTTAAGCACCGCAATTGTTAAATAACAATCATTATTTTTTTTTAAAAAATAAAGAAATTATTATTAATATTACTATCAATTATGTTTAAAACACATAAACTTCTACAAAATAACACCAAAAATTAATTAAATGCTTAGTTTATATAATTATAGCACAAAATTTTAATGATAATTACAGCTAATTTCTAGATTATAAATAGTCATTATTTTACATCTAAAGTCATATTTGTAATTATAGTTTATTGTCTTTCTAGTAAACTTTTTAAATACTAATATAAAGTTTTGCAATTTAAAAATTATGTATAATTTGTAATTTAATAATATAATAGCTTTTACGTGTTCATCGGACACCCGGTGCCCGTGTATTGACACTACTATTAACTGTACAGATGTTGGTCTCCAAACAATTCCCGATAACATTGAATTAGAAATATTAAGAATGTAAGTGTTTTTTAATTTTTAAAATAAAAATAATTAATATATATATATGTAATTAGTTTGATTAAAATTATGTTAATTCAAAATTTAACTAGATAGTTTAATATCTAAAATTTTTAGACTAATTTTTAAAAAATATATACTATAGTAAACTAAAGAAAAATAAAAAATAAATTATTGTATTTTTATATTCTTGCATTTTCCGACATTTATAATTATTTATAAATATCTTAATGTAAATTTGAATTTTTAAAGTGTTTTTATAGATTAAATTTAAAAGCAACCATTTATAATATTAAACATTATAAAAATATTAAACATGTTACATAATCTAGCACAAAATGTTTTGTTTTATAAAATCAATAGCATTAATTTTTTGACATATAATCGTATATTAAAATGTTTTGTTATTAACAATAAGACTAATTTTTAATTTTACATTTCAATGCTTTTTTAAATATATTAATTATTAATTTCATACTATATTTTCTATTTTACTAATATTTACAGTATTTTCTATATTAATTAAAAATTTATATAGCAATATAGCGTTTTGTTAATATTTTATTATAAATTATTATTTTAAACAATAAATTATACTAAAGGGTTATTCACGAGAGACGTCCAATTTTTAAAAAATGATTTTTACAGTATATTTCAATAGATTTTATTTGATTAAATAATTTTTAGTTTAGAAGAAATACCAATATTACAATACAATTAATTTTAAATTGAAAATATCTTATTTAATAAATATTTTTTTAGTTATCTATTATGAACTTTTTTATATTAATATTTTTTTTTTAATTTTTAGATATATTTTAAAATGTCACTGGTGCCTAATTAGCTTATTTACATAGTTTACTAGTGTCAGATCCATTTAAATATAAATTAATATATAATTATCATTGAATTATTTCCCTAAACTTTATGAACGTCATATGAGAATAACACTTATTATGGGTTTATTTTAGTAATTTATTGGTATTTACTATTATATACCTAATATGAAATTAGTATTTATAGTACATTGATTTTTGTATCTACTAAAGTATATAACTTTTATAATAAATTACAATTTGTTTGAAAAATTAAGCGTTAAAAGTTAAATGAAAAGTTATGAATGAAATTATTTATTAGATATTTTTATTTAGTATATAAAAATTTTATGCATTATTGAATTTAATGTTAAAATACTTAAATTTTTGTTAACAATATCTTTAATATATATATAATTTACTTTGATATTAGCATTATTAAATTTAAACATTATCATCAGCATTATTATTATTATTATTATTACAATATCTAAACAATAGTATATATATATATATATATATATTTTTGTATTAAACAACAAAAAACATATCAAATAGGATACTGAAAGGCAATTATTTGGGAAAGAGTTTGAAGCCTAAAATGTTTGCCGGTTTCGAGCGGATGCATACAATCGACTTAAGCGACAATTATATCACATATTTACCCCCCGGACTATTCAAGAATCTATGGAAACTAAGAATATTGTAAATGAGATTTTTTTTTTGTTTTGTTTTATACATTAATATATCATTTTTTGTGTTAATAATAAATGATGTGCATATGCATTAAGCATTTGATTTTACCAAAAAAAAAATATTTTATTGGTAAAAACTTAATCATTTTGCTATCTTTGACTTAATTATCTGATATTTTTTCACTTTAAGGCATTTAAAGAATAATATGATTGAAATTCTGGATCCGCACACATTTGCTGGTCTACCAAATCTGGGAACAGTGTATGTTATGCTAAACATTAATTAATTAATAATTTTTTATATAATTTATATAATTATATAATTTTTAATAAATATTTTTAATAACTAATTTACTTGTTAGCTAATTAGATAAATAATAACATAATTGTTATATATATACATGAAAAATATTACAAATTTAATTAATAATGTATTATATAATAAATTGATGTGTAAATAATTTTTCTTAATGAATCTAAGGAATAATTGAGTTGATAGAAACTTTTGAATATTAATATTCATTGAATTTTAATATATTACAATTATTTATAACATTATTAATTAATTAAATTAATTATGAAAATTTTCTTAATAAATTATATTTGCATATTTTATAAAAATTTTATTATGTATAATTTACTTTATATATATATTTATATTTACAGTAAATGAATGACATAAAAATATAATTTTATAACAAATAATACAATTATGTTGTTTATGTTAAAAATGTATTAAAACATCAACCATACTGTATGATAGAGTATTAATATTTAAAACCAATTTTTAAAAGACATACTTAGCAATGATAATCCCTTATAGACTTTTAATAATTTAATTGTTTTACTTGTAGATTATTTTTTTTAATTAAATTTATAATTATTTTTTAAACTTTTTTTCTTAATTTTACAGAACATTAATTGGAAACAGAATACGAATAATACATGAATTTTCATTTAGTGGTTTGACTTCATTGAATTCATTGTATGTATTAATATATTTTATAAATTTATTAAAATATCATATTTATTATAATAAAAACATATTAAGTATTAGAATAAACATTATTAAAATAAAAATTGCTTTAAAATTTGAATTTGTAAGTAATTTTTATAGTACTGTACATAAATATAGTGTTTATGATACTATTAGCAAACATTAATACTTATAATTTTATACTTATGCTAATACAGTATTATTAGTAATACTTATAAACTATTGTATAGTATTATTAATATTTATAAAACATGCAAAATGTGATACTATTTGAGATTTGTATTGTAATTACAGAGATTTAAGTCATCAAAATATAGCACATCTCTATAAAAATTCATTTGTCGGCTTACGTTCATTGAGTACACTGTATGTATGAATAAATATATTAGTTTTTAAAAATAATTTTATGATACTTTACTAAAATAATATTTTTTGTTTACTTAACTTTTAAAAATATAATCTAAATATAATGTTATCAATATTCGCTTTAATTTGATTTTTATTATTATAATTTTAGACTATTACTTTAAGACACGTGTATAACAGTTTAGTGAATCTATTATAATAGTAATTGTGATTTACAGTTATGAATACCAAACCATAAATTGCATGATATTTACTGTATATAAATAATGCTGTATAAAGTATGTATAATCAATAAATATTGTATAAATTGTTTATATACTGTATATACTCAGCAAAAGTTTTTCAAATCAATTCCCAAAGTGTATCCTTAAAAGTCATCATTTATTAGAAGCTATTATTAAAGTTTCAAATGTCTAGTCAAAACACGTATATAGACTAAAAAATAGGGTTGAAAAATGTCCTAATATTTAATTTAAAACAAAAAACAATACAAGATTCATATTATCTAACTTACATTTACAGTTAATCAATATTATAAAAGATTAGTTTTAAAAAACTTGATATTGTATATTATCATAAAATCACAAAATAAATAATTTTAATATTAAATAAACATAAACATTTATATTTTCTTAGATTATAGAATTTATCATTAAAACAGTTGTTATTTTATTTTTAAAAATATAAATATGAAAAAGTAATTAAACATTAAAAGTTTTATAAATATTCATTGATTAAATAGTTTATTATCTAATTGTTTTCTATTGATTACTTCAAAATATATATTATTTTTAAAATGAATTACCAACTCTAACTAAAATTAAATATTTTATTTTAAAAACAATGATCTAAATTTTTAAGTCAAATAAAGTTATTCATCTGAAAATATAATGAATACCTAAATATTATGTCATTTTTATTTATTATATATGAGAATAAAATATATAAAAATTTTAATTATATTTAAAAAAATCACTTCAAAAAATAATCTTACAATTTAACTTATATATTATATTAAATATTTATTATATAAATTCATATAAATTATATAAATTATTTATATAATAAATCCTTTTTTATGAAAAATATTATTTTCAACAAACAGTAATAAATATTATTGATTTTTATGACTTACTGTAAAGTAAAGTAAGAAAAATACTAATAATTTTTGTTTGTTTTGTTAATTTATTTTTAAACAAAATTATAATTATCAGATTTAATGACTTTATAATTTTTGGTTTTTTTTCTTGTCTTATATTTATATTTATATATATATTATTTTGTAGTGATTTATCAAACAATGTGATTACTGATATTGAAGACGGAGTATTCAGTGGTTTAATCAAATTGGCGTCACTGTAAGCACCGTTACTTAATTTAATAATAATAATACTACTGTTTTTATATCCAATGTTTAGTATCCGTTATTTCACCACCAAATTAGATACATACTATACAACATTAAATTTATATATATATATATATATTGTTGTGTTTGATTTAATTTAATGATGTATTTAATTTTATTTCTATTGGAAACAACAAAAACAAAATACCAAAAATAAAAACAAAAATTAAATGCAGAGACTTATCGAAAAATTCATTGAACAAAATGGGCGGAAAAACTTTTCTCGGATTACAGTCATTGAGGCTTTTGTAAGTAATTTTTGCCATTGAATAACCAATTTTATTGTCACTTTGTATTGTATTTGACAAATACTTATTGTATGGTTTGTTACCATTGATTATCTTTATATTCAAGCTTTTCATATCATATTATTATTATTATTATTATACAAAATTAATGAATTTATTTATTACTTTTTATTTATAACATGATTTTGACTGCGTGTGTGTATATGTATGTGTATTTTGATTCATCATTTATACATACAGTATACTTGGATACATTGTGTACATATTGATAATTTTGTCTGCTAATTATTTATACTACAGAGAGAGAGAGAGAGAGAGAGAGAGAGAGAGAGAGAGAGAGAGAGGAAAAAAATATTTGCAAATAAAAAAAACAAATTTACAGAGAAAATCTAATATTTTATGTTTATATAAAATATTTACACATTTTTTATTTAATAACCATAGAAAAAAGTTTACTGTAAATATTATTTCGGAGATTGTATTATATTTACAGTAAATTATGCATTATATGACAGGTTTGAGGACAAAATTATTGAAATTTATTTAATTTTTCAAATTTTGAATCTCCTTTTTTGTACTAACGATATAGCGTATTATAAATTAAATATATATATATAATTATAATATCTATTATAGTTTCTATATTTTATAGTATTTCTAAAAATTTATTAAATAAATAACTAACTGTTGTTTATGTGTTTAGTTATTTAACATTCATTTTATGTTATGTTTAAACTTTAAACTTTAACAACTAAATCAAATTTTAATATAACTGCGATATTTAAGTGTGATTTTATATTTTTATATTATTATAGTTATTATAGTTGATATTATTGAATGTATTTTAAAAATAAAATTTGTCAGTTATTATAGTTGACTTTAATATTTTGACATTAACTTTAAATAAAATCAAATAAGCATAACGTAAAATTGCTATAAAATAAACATAATTTTTTTATTATTATTCTGTATATATATTTAAGTTATTTTCTAATTTTGTTAGTTAGTTATTCAAAAAGTGTATTAAGTAAATAAATAAATAGATTTACATACAGTATATTATAATAAAAACATTACAGTACATGTACATATACACTAAATTATTAGCTATTTTGACATTAAAACTTAATTAAAACTTATTATTATAGTTACTATTTTTGTAATTTATTTGATTATGACATATGATATTCTTATGAGATTATATACACAATATTATTGATAATCAATCAAACAATTAGTTAATTTTCCATTGCCTTTATTATTATTATTATTATTATTATAACTGTCGACTCTAATTAGGTGCCAATTATTTTTGTATCAATCGGTGATTCAGAAAAAAAACTAAGTTTTCATTAATGATTACAGTATTAATGTATGTATTGAATGTACGGCTAAGTCAATGAAATTAACTGATCAATGAGTATGATATTCTCATCACTGTTCATATAATTCATAGTATATCTCAGTTGCTGTATGTTATAGTTGTTGTCATTTTTCACAAATACATTCTGTATATACACATACATACACACATGTATACACACATACATACACACATATATACACACATATATACACACACATACACATATTACTGATGTTGATCCCATCGCTATATCATTATATACGTGTGCCAAATGTTATTAAGTTTAATTTCAAAAAAAAAAAAATTTTACCCCAACTGTGATATATACTCGATGTTTGAAAGATAAGAGTTGTGTTTCATAACTAAAGATTACTTTATATGAACTTTTCATTCATCTTAAAACTCTGTGTTCATAATATCTCTCTATTTTTCTATCCATAGAAGTAGTAAATCATGATTTTATATTTCACTTAACCGCTGGTCTAACGATTGTATTACTTCACTATCTCTCTCTCTCTCTCTCTCTCTCTCTCTCTCTCTCTCTCTCTCTCTCTCTCTCTCACTCACTCACTCTCTCTCTCTCACACACACATTGATTGTCAACTTTAACATTTAATAAATATGATGTCCAAATAAATATAATTCATCACCTTTATATTATTACAAAATTAGTCGATATTGTCTATATTATTAATAGTATTGTTGAGATGAATTTCAACATATTTTTTTGGGTCTATTTTTGGTATAATTTATTTGATTTGTCGTGAGTTTCATATTATATGTAACTTTTAAGTTGAACTAAATATTGAAAGCATAATAAAAATACTACTACTGCTGTACTACTAATGGCACTTAAAGTGAAACCATAGAAAAAAAACTGAAACATTGTATATATTTTATTAATTATATATACGATATGATATCAATATTATTATATAATATTTCATCTTAAATCAAAACATATGACAATTTTCACAAAAAAATTGACACAATGTAACATTATTTTGTTGATGTTGATATCTATTATTAATTATTATATTTTATTATTAGTAAAACAAATTTATTATTTTTTTTATCTTAGAAAAGATTATTTACAGAGTTTTTTTTATATATTAATGAGACATTTAAATTATAGACAATTTTTTCAAATTTAATGCCAAAATAGTTATACTTTTGTTTTTTATCTGTAATATTTTTATATAATTAGATATATAAGATAAATATAATACATGTCAAAATTTTGCTTTCATCTTAAAATATTGGATTAATGATAAAAAAACATTTGTTTATAATTATAAATAATTAATTAATATATATACAATATATATTAATTTTTTATATAAAATTTTATTTTTATATGAAAGCTATAAACAAGGTTACAGTACAATGTGGTATCACTTTATGTACAATATTATATAATTATATATAACATGTTTAGTATAATACATTTCTATAATATAACATAAATGCTTTTGTATTTCATGTTTTAATTATTCAAATGCTAAACTAGGTTATTATTTTTGTTATTATAAATAAATTATTCAATTTCATATAAATGTATTTATCAAATTTTTGCACTTTAATCAGTAAATATTATAAATTACACTGTATATAAATTGTTCTAGTACATTATATACAGTTGTTTAAATATATAAAAATATTGAATATTATTACCTTAATAATAAATGATATAAATATATAAAATATTAATTTAATTAATACAGTGATACGGTGTCCCAATGTAAGATTGTTTTTCAATTTGTAATGTCAACTAAACCATTAATTATAATTGTTATTATTATTATTATAAGTATCAATGATATAATAAAATTTAATTAATAAATTAATACTAACAAATATATTGCAAAACTAATACCGTATGTTTTAAAAATTTGATTAATATTTTCATTTTATAATAAATAATTAAAAATTAAAAAATATCAGTAATTCAAAACAATTAGAAATTAGAAAATAGTTTTTATTGAATTTTAAAAAAATTAATTACAATGACAAATGTTAAATACTGTTAGTTAGTAACAGTAAAAACAAAAAATGTTGGGACAGTTAGTTGTTTTTTTTATTTTACTTCCATTGGTAGACTCGAAGGTAGTCGATCTCCATCGAAGGCTTTTCCCATCGTCGGGCTTCGTCGGGAGTGACGGGCGGTCCGTAAACATTTTGCGGGAAAAAATTGCCGCCGACGGCAATGTTGAGAATCCAGAAAAATCCCTGGTCAAATGGGGCACCGTTATGGTTGTAGGGATTGGCTCCCTTTCCTGACCACATATTTCTATTGATATTTTCTCTGTGATACTCCTGGCCGTCGACATACCAACGAATCATATTTTGGTCCCATTCGACGGCAAACGTATGATAATCGGCAGTAAAATCCTTATTGAAATTTCGTTCGCCGGAACCGCTGTAGATATTGTTAGGCCACGAACCGCCGTAATGAATGGTTCCCTGAGTAATGGTCGGTCTCTCGCCTCTGGCTTCCATGATATCGATCTCACCGCTGGCAGCCCTGTCATCGCAATTAATAAATCATTTGTCAGAGAAAAAAATCCTTATATTATATTAACTAATTGTTAGACAAGCAATAGGGTATACATACCATCCGCCATATTTGCTGTCCTTCGGCATCATCCAGATAGCGGGCCACAGATTTTTGCCTTTCGGCAGCTTAGCTCTGGCCTCGAACTTGCCGTATGTCCACGACTTTTTCGATGTCAATCGAGCCGATGTAAAATGTCTGCCTCCCTCTTCCTGGACGCGGGCATTGATGACCAAATGGCCGCCCTCTTGGCGAGCATTGCCCGTATTGTGCGATGTATAGTACTCTAACTCGTTATTACCCCAACCTTATTGTCGACAAGATTTTTTTGATTAGAAATTAAATCAAATAATATAAACAAAAATTAAACAAAAAAATAGCTCAAAAATTGTTGAGACACTTACCGCCACCGCCGACCTCATAGCTCCATTCGCCATCATTAGGACCGCCCGATCCATTAAACTCATCTGACCAGACCAACTGCCAACCGGCGGACTCGGCGCCTCTCAATAGACCAATAGCTAATACAATCAAATTAAATAACATATTTGAGTTTTTTTTTGATAAAAATAGATTTTTCTATCAAATATAAAATTGTTAGAAAAATATTGCTTCCTTTATATACTGTTTTATTTTTGTTGTTTGGTTGACAACGGATTTCAATTATCAATACATTTATAGAAAAATATCGATAGATTTATATAATTTATGTCGTTTTTGTAAATCTAATTAATTTTGTGTGACATAAAAATAAGGTATATTATTGTTTTTTAAACAACTGTTTTTTATAATCAGTTTCAACCACTTTCTATCTGGAGATAAACAACATGTTTTTCAAATGTATTTATTATAAAATAATGCTATTTAATATTTAATGATAATTATGAATTAATATTTCTATTAAAAAAATCATATTTAATAATAATAATTTATAACTAATATTGACAAAACTGTGTGATAATTGTTGTTTTCAATGCAATTCATTATTAATTAGTAATGTTTCTACAAATTTTTAATATTAAACTTTTTATTGTTTATAATTACTCTATAGTAAACTCTCTCTCTCTCTCTCTCTCTCTCTCTCTCTCTCTCTCTCTCTCTCTCTCACACACACACACACACACACACACACAAAACACACATAAAACACTTAACATTATTTTGCTTATAATGATTTGTATTAATTATTTATTTTATTTAATCAAATGAGATGAATCAAAATACTTTTCAAGTGAACCCAGAAAACAATTGATTTTAATTTCTTGTTAAGTCTATTGATAATTATATTATAGCTTATAGTTCAAAACGTTGCGCTTTATACATAAGATTACAGTATATGTTTGAGTGTTTAAATGTATTAATATATTAATTAATATTATAGAATATATAGAAAATATTAAAGAATTATATCATTTCTATATAGAATAATAAAAGACATTAAATAATAGTGAGATTAAGTGATGAAAAATTATTAATTAAAAACTTTTTGACAATAGATTTATAAAATTTTACGGATTATATTTAATAAATTTATTTATCATTTATTAGTATCTATACTTTTGTATAATATTTTAATTACAACTGTAATTTTATTTATTCATTACTTATTACAAAATTTTGGAGAAAACATTGAACTCTATTATTTATTGAAATAAAAATAAATAGTAATAATAATCAATTATTATTAATATTATCAATTTTTGTACGAAACAAATTTTTAACAATATTAATTTACAATATCATAATTTTGTAAATAATAATATTTATAGTAAATAATACAGTAATATTTATATTAAATATTTATTTTAATGATTATTTTTATTACATAAACCATTAATGATTTTACATTATTTCATGGACTGAAATAGATTAATGATTATCTAATATATGAAAATATTAATAAAAAACATACCATACCTTTACTTAAATACACGTAAGCCTGGATACAATATACTATTGTACACATCATTATATGAACATTTGTAATTTATAATTTATCACAAATAATAGATTATTTTAGATAAATCAGATAAATTAATTAATTAGAAAATTACAAGTGTTTTAACCTAAATTCACAAGAAATTTATTTTAATCGTTAATTTAAAAAATTTTTATAATTCAAAAAAAAAATATTTTTTTTCTTATTTATTCATCATATTTTGTATGATTGATAATATTATTTGTTTGTAATTAAGTCTATTATTTGTACAGAATATGTACACATTTATTTTTCAGGGACAATTTTATGCAGATTTATAATAATAGTGTTTATAAGTGTTAAAAATTATTACATTTACTAAAAAAAAATTCATCAACTATAATATCATATAATAATTAAAATATACTATTTTTTTATTGACAATTGCAAATATTTAATAACATTGTATATAATAACAATAAAAAATAATAGAATTTAATATATATTATATTTAATATGAATTTATTAATTACAGGATTTTAAATTTCTATTGCATTTAAACGAAAAATAAATATATATATTTATAATGAATTTAAAATATTAATTTTAGCATTTAAAAAACATAACATAAATAATAATATTTATCTGAATTGTTGCAAATAATTTTAGGACAACCGATGAATTTCGTTTCTGTTGTCTGGCCCGACACGTGGAGACCTGTAACCCGGCTCCGGACAACATGGAGTTCTCCTCGTGCGAGGATTTACTGTCCAATGCCTTACTGAGGATCTGTATTTGGGTACTGGGAGTGGTGGCACTGGTCGGCAATATAACTGTGATATGTTGGCGAATCAAATACCGGATCACAAATAAAGTCCACTCTTTTCTCATCATTAATCTAGCGCTGGGAGACCTACTAATGGGCATATATTTGCTTATTATAGCCGGTGTTGACGCTTATTATCGGTAATTACTTTCTTTGTTTTTTTTTGGTTTTTTGTATTAATATTTCATTCATTTATTCATTTGTTTGTCATTTTAACATTAAAGATATATATAGTTTATAATATATATACAGTATATATATAACAAATAAATCTTTTTAATTATGTTTTTTGAGCTTAAATTACACAATAATTTGTTATTTCTGAAAACACAATGAAAAAAAACAATTAAAAACATTGCGAACGAATCATTCATTTAGAAAAGCTTTAATATTTTAATTCCTTATTTACAATAATTAAACTATTTATTAATAATTTTTATTATATTATAATTAGTAGTATTAAATATTTTTATGTATTATTATTTTTTATCATTAGAATCTGTCTGATATATTTAATATATATTAATATATATATTTAGTTTTAATACTTAAAATTTTTTATTTATTATTTATGACTTAACAATTACAATAAAATTGTTTTTCAATTTTTATCTTTTACCACAATATTTATTTAAAGTTTTTAAAAAATAATTATAAAAAACTTATGTGTGTGTGTTTTAATAAACTAAAAAATAATGTTTACTATATATTGATCAACAATTTTTTTAATCCCATTGTTGTTGTTTGTTTTTTATAGAATTATCAGTTTTATTATTATTATTATTATTATTAGAGTAAACTATTGCAAAATGTTTTATCAAATTTGTTGAGATTTTCTCATTTATTATTATCATTAGTAATAATAGTAATAATATAAAATATTTATTATATGCTAACAACAAAACTAGTTGTAATTTTCTACTATAAAAACATACACAATAGTGAAAATTGAAATTGAAATTTTTTTTTTATTAAAAATATATCATTATTTCTCATTTTTCTATATAAACTTTTATTTGACAAATTTGTTTTATATTTAGTATATAGTAAAAATAAAATTGCTTATAAATTATTCAAAATTTAATAATAGTAAAATATAGTTATTATATAGGGTTTTTACAAATTGTTTTTATTATTATTATTTCATAAATTATTTACAAATAAACAAAATTAATCGTAAAAATTTCTATTTTCAGTTTGAAAAAACTTAACTACTATATTGTAGCAAAAAAAAATAACAGCCAATATTTTTTTTACTTATAAATATTATATACTGTACTATGAAATAAAATATAGTATAAATTTATTTATAGTTTATATTTTAGTACAGAATATTTGTTTTTAATAAATGTTGATTGAGATTAAACAAGTAAACAAGTTTTATATCATACTATACTTATATAAGTAACTTATTTTTTAAAATAAAAGCACCTAAAGTTGTTATCAATCAAATTATGTGACACTTTTATTACGCTAATATTGATTTTGTTAATACTGTATTATGAATTATGTACTGTACAGCATCAATATTATAAAGATAACTTTTTGGTGTTTATCAAAAAATTAAATAATAAATTAGATTTATTATATGTGTCCAGAAACAGTGTTTTAGGATTTTAGAAAATAAATTGAACTAAAATTTTATTATTAATAATTATAAATTTGATAAAATCTAAATTTATTTTTTATGTTTTATATTAATTAATGTTATGTAAAAATTTATACACAATTAATTTGATTTGATTTTTACAAACAATTACCTGTATATTAAAAATTTTAAAATTTTAGTTTTTATATGTGAACTTTATTATTTTACAATCTTTATTTTATAGTTTTGTTTTTTGTAGCTAATTTATTTGAAAAGTGTTTTATTTTAATGATATTTTATAATATAATATACTATACAGTAATAGTATCTCCGATTTATTTTATTTTTTATTACAAACTCTCAAATAGCAATAAATTGGATTTATTTAAAATTTATCTATTGTTAAGCAATGAGTTAATTATTGTTCCAAAGTATTCATTTATTTAACATTTATATCAAAAGTAATTTAATAAATAACTTATAAGTTATAACATTAATGTTGTATAAAAAACATTTTACTTAAAAAACACAAATACTTTACTATTTATTTAAGATAAACAATAGGAAAAATTGTCTAATCATTAATTGTGATTACTTATATTTTAGCAAAATCATCCAAAAAAATAGAGAGTTATTTTGTACTTTAATTAAAAAAACAAACAAATTATATATTAAAATTTTTATTAATGATTATTTTGTTAACTTATAATTTTATTATAAAATAACTAAATAGTTGCTAAAAAAGTTTTTGGTTTTTTTTAAATATCAAATACTTAGTAAATTTTTTTTATATATAATATTGTTTAATCATACAAACAAACAATAATAATATTTTATAATATATAAATTAATTTAATAATTAATTAATGATTATTTTCAGTGGCATATACTTCATAGTGGATGGTATGTGGCGTCAGAGCACTCTTTGCCATTTCTCCGGATTTTTATCTACCCTTTCGTCAGAGTTTTCAGTTTTTACACTAACAGTCATAACATTAGACCGATTCGTGACAATAGTATTTCCATTGAAATTCAGAAAAATTAAAATGAAAAACGCTATAATCATAATGAGCTTACTATGGCTACTATGTATCGCACTATCGATTATACCATTAGTGGTACCGATGCTTCAATTTGACTATTTTGACAACTTTTACGGCCGATCCGGCGTTTGTCTGGCTCTGCACATCACTCAGGAGCGGCCAAACGGCTGGGAGTATTCGGTATTTGTATTTCTTGTGCTCAACTTTATGTCGTTCACTACAATAGCCGTCGCCTATTTGTGGATGTTTTTTGTGGCCAAAAACACGTCGAGCGCTGTCCGCACACCCGAACATAAAATCCATAACCGTATGGCCCGGCGTATGATGTTTATCGTAATGACCGACTTCTGGTGTTGGATGCCTATCATACTGTTAGGCATTATATCGTTTTATGGCGTTAAGATACCTCCACAGGTAATAATACCGGTATTAATACAGTACAGTGAATACCAGTGCTGGAAATACATGTGTTTTGATTAATTTTCTCATAATTTAATTGATCTCTCTTTCTCTCTCTCTCTCTCTCTCTCTCTCTCTCTCTCTCTCTCTCTCTCTCTCTCTCTCTCTCTCTCTGTCTCTCTCTCTCTCTCATGGTTTAGGCATTTGCTTGGGTAGCCGTTTTTGTACTGCCACTCAATGCGGCCGTCAATCCCACTCTATATACACTATCAAACCTTGTCTATCGAAAGACTAGTTCACCGACAACTGCCGCCTCGTCATTGAACCGCAGTTTCAAAGCCCGAAACGTTAATAATTATTCAAATAATAATAATAATAATCATACAGTTAAACACCATTTTAAAACTACTTTTATATAAATTTTAATAACTAAACAAAAATGCCATATAAATAATTATTTTTTATTTAATTATTAAATTTTGTAGAAACTATAATGTTTCAAAAAAATACTATTATCTCTTATAATATTATTTTTTTAATACAAAATTAACTAGATAATTATTTAAATTAATTTTACCACATTATCTTTACTACTTAATATTTATTTATTTTTTAAAATAAAGTATAATTATTTTCTAAAGTTATTATATATACAATAATACTATAAGAGAAAAATGGTATAAAATAATTATCTTAAAAAAAGTAATTAACAAAAATATTTTTTTATATATATATATCTGATATTATATTTGAAAAAAGAGATAACATTTTGAACTACAATTTTGTTGTCCGTCCGTCTATTGGTTGGAAAAAATATATTTACAAATAAAATGATTGTTTAATTTTATAAAATTATAATAATTATAATATTATAAATTTGTTAATCATGTTTGATAATAATAATAATAATAAGTTTAACTTAATTGTAAATAGTAAATATGTCATACAAACAATATATTATTATTATTACTAATAACTATATTACAGTAAATTGTATTTTTCTAATTGTATAAAATACTGGTAATTATATGTAAATAATTAATTATGTAATTATAATATATATTATTTGTTAAAACTGAATTGTAATTTTTAATATAATTTATTTATTAATAAAAAATTATTTTAAATAATTTATAAATTTATTATACAATATTTTTTTTTAAAAATAATATAAAGAAAAATGCATTAATATTAAGATAACTACTTTATAATTTAGTATAACTTTTTAGTTAAATAATTAAGTATTTGACTTTTTGAAATAATAATGTACTTTAATAAATTTTTAAAAGTATTACATTGATATAATATTTATAAAATAATTATTTTTATACAATAATTTTATTATACTAATTTATTATTTTCAATTTTATCATATAGCAAAAAATATTAAATAATTTTAGTTATATTTTATGCATTAAGTATTAAAAATATATATTATTATTTTTAAAAAAAATGTAATCTATTATATTAATATACATTTTGAAAAGTCATGTATAATTTTGTCTACTAAAAAATCAAACTTGAAATTTAAGTAATAATATTATAAATTAAATAGAAAATAACTAAAATTTAAAAATTTCAATATTGATTTTAAAAACATAGTCATTTTTAACGCTGACTATTATTATAACAAAAATTAATCTAAGTCAAATATTTTCAATCTTTTTTGTATTTTTATTAGTATTATATTAATGCCTTTCCATGATTTCTATTTTCAAAAAATATTAAAGACATAAAGATTATTATAATAATACAAAATAACTTTGATTTTAAAAATTTTAATAAAAAAATAATTAAATTCAAATGTATAAAAAAAGTTAAACTAATCTAAATTTGAAATTTAAGATTAAGCAAAATTTTTAGATAAAACACCACATAAATTATGTATAATACTTAAATAATAGAAAATAAATGTCAAACGTTAGCAAATGTTAACTACTTTTCTAAAAAAATGCATAATAAGTATTAATATACAGTAATAAGTATATTAACATTATTTTTGTTATAAAAATTAATTTACAGTTTAAATGTAGAAACGACTTTAATAATAAATTTAATAACATTATAACAATAAGTAAAATAGATTTAAATAATGTTAATTCATTACAATAATACCTATAATAATAATAAAAATATAAAACATAAATTTTATTAAAATTGTTATACAAAAGTATGGAAAAAATTTACAAATCAAAACATATAAGTAAACATTTTTTAATGTTTTATAACATTTATTAATATATTTGTTGATAGTAGTTTTGAAAATTTTATAACACAAAATATATCTTAGTATTTGTTTAAACTATTATTTAGTAAAAAGTTTGTTTATACAAAAATTATTTTACATATTTTAAATTAATATTTATATTTATATAGTACTGAAATTATTTATAACTTTTTATTATTATAATTAATACATTATCCCTATAACAATGTCAAATGTTATGTAAATACTTACTGATAAAAATTTCGCAATACATTTGTTATTTAATATAAATATATTTAATACTATGATTTCGCATAAATCGTATTACAGTAACAATGAATTAAAAGTGTGTGAAAATCAATTGTAATTCCTATTGAATGTCTAATATTTAAGATAACGTCTTGTTATTATATTATTTGACTGTAGAAATACATCCCAAAAAACTATAGATAAACAAGATTTTCTTATATAATGTATATTTTATTTTGTCACATAAAATATCACATAAAACTAATTAATTTCAGAGAGAGAGAAAGTCCAAAATTAGGCGAAATTTAATTTAAATCTCATATCAAATATCCTATATATTTAGGTCATTCACAGATTAATTTCGAAAGTAATAAACGAATGTTTCATATGTTTTAATATTGTTTAAAAACACGACAATTATTATAATATTATAATTTTAATAAATTTTTTTAAATACATTATTAATTGTATAATAAATAATTCTTGTTATATTAAAACTTATATTTGTTTTGTCTTCAAGTATTAAATCCTTAATAACTATTAAATCGGATTAAAATCCCTTCTAATATTTGATATTATTTTATATATAAAGTTCAAATTTAGTGTTATTTTTTGGCAAAACATACATAATATAATAGACAGAAAAAAAAGTTTATTTCAATAAAATGTCATCAAATACTTTACGCTTCTTTTGTCTTAATCTTTTTGATTTAACTTTTGATTTTTGTTGTGCTTTATATTTTATATCATATATTGACTATTTGTATTGTATTATTATATATCGCAAATTATTATCATTGCAACATTTTTTTTGATGTCTTAGTTTTTTATATTTTTATATATTTTCATTTCATGTGTTTATCCTATTGTCAAAAATACTATATCCTTTATTTTTCTAGTTTGCTATCCTTGAAAAATGATATACAATAAACAACAAAACATAAAAATAGATGACTAAACAAACAAAAGTTTTAACTTTTTTATAGTATATAAATATTTTTGTTGTTGTGAATCGATGTTTTGAATGTTAACTGATTTAGAGACAATTCAATGGTCACAACATGTTTTATTATTTTAATTTAAATATATATTATTTTTTTTAAAATTATGTGTAAAATAATAAGGATATACTGTATATAAAGTTTCTTAAACACATATTATAATTTATAAAACTAATAAATTAATCCCCAGTTTTATCAATATGTAATGTAATGAAATATTTTTTTTGACACTTAAGTAGCAACTGATTGATTATCATATTTTAATAAGATTTTGGAAATAAATCACATATTTTAGTGTCTAACTATTATGTGACAATCTTTTATAATTTATATATAAATTTATATATTGATAAAAAAAACTATACAAAAAATCTACAATATCTAATTTGCCTATTGAATACTTAATAATAATAATAAAATATCACAATAGGAATCCACTACCTATAGTGTCAGAAAAAATATTAAGAAAAAAATTTTGGTTTAATGTCCATCAAAATAAACAACTACTAAAAAATAATTTTTCAAGCCATATAGTTTCTGGGGATAAAAAAAGTTTTAAAATAAATAAATTATAAAGTTAATAAATCAATAGTTCTAATTTCAATTCAAAACAAACAACAATAAAAAAAGCTCAAAATCGTTGACTATTTTGAAAAAATATATTCAATTTTCTAATATTTTTTATTTTTATTTAAATTTACATTCAAACGCTTTAATAATATTACAGTTGACTAAACTGTTTTAACAATGTGTTGAATATTATAAAATATCATGAGATGTTTTTTATTATATAATATTATATATACTTTATATATAAAGTTTAAAACTATTTTTAGATAACAATAAAAAGCTTAACAATTACATTAAAAAACAACTAAATTTATATTTATAACTAAAATCATTTATTATAATGAGTGAGTGGGTATAGTCACCAGAGACTTACCATTTTTATAGGTATTACTTAAAATACAGTTAAAATATTTTTTTTATCGCCGAATCTATTTTTCTAAGTCAATTAGTTTTTTATTATATCATAAAATAATACCGGTGTATATTAAATATTTACTAAAACAATAAAATAGTGTAAATACACAAAAGCAAAACAATTAATTAGTAATTTTACAAGTCATGGTAAATTGTTTTTACTGGTTATAAACTGATTATGTTTTGATTATAAAAAAAATTATAATGAAAATTCTCGGAAACAAAAACATATATAGTTTTTGATTATAAATTATATATTTATATTATATTTAGAGTATATGTCTGTTTTGGTCAGTCAAGCAATTAATAAGAGCTTCAAATTATAAGCAAAAGATTCATTTATTTAATGAGTTTTCCCTTCAATTTTCATCTGATCTCTAGTAATGTCACTCTCATTATATCAACTGATAAAAGGCTGAAAAATCTAATACAACATTAACTCCATTGAGAATCTAATATAATAATGATTTAATTGAATGCTTCACTTACAATGAGCTTACAATAACCCTATTGTTAAACTATTATCAATTTTATGGTTATAATTCAATAGAAATTCATAGTTTTAATAATCTTAACTATTGATATAATGATGGAAAAATTATATAATATAATTATAGCTTATTATTATTTACTTGAAATAAATATTATATATTTATAAATATTTTACTGATTGATAAAGTTGTAATGTTGATGTTTTTTCAAAATAATCAAATGATATAAACAAAACTGTATATGTAGTCTAATTTTTTTTTAATAAATTAATCATTATTACTGTACATATTGGTAATAAGGTCACAATGAGTTATTAATATATATATATTATATTAGTATTTTTATAAAGTTAATTAAAAATTATTTATTTAATAAAATTAATAGATAATCTACAAACTATCATTGATAGCACTATTGTAAATACTGAATTATTTTTGTAATTTTTCATTAATAAATTATTTAAAAATTATATCTAAATTACTGTTTGATCACCAAATTAATCCTTAAAAAGACTATTACATGTTATTTAAAATTAACAATAAAAATAATAATTTAATCAATAGCAATTTATTTATAATATTCAAATATTATTTAATGAAAATTTTATATAACTTAAATATACTTTGGAAAAATTTAAGAACTAAATATTAAATTTAAAAAAATATTATTTAAAATTTACAAACATATACCTTTTTTAAGTAATTTTAAAAAACCTATTAATTCAAAAAATATCATACAATTTTATTACTGACATTGCAAAAATATAACAATGATTTTGTGGAAAATAATTAAATCATTTAAGTGTTTTTAAGCAATTAATAATTCTGTTGTAAAATCAGGTGAGTGTCAGTAAAAAACATATTTTTATAAAAAAAATATCTATAATATAATAATGAAAAAAATTATAGTAATATTAGTATTATTTAGTAATTTACAAATAATCATTTAGATCACAAATTGGTTTGTAATAAATATATATATTGGTTACGGAATTAAAGTACAAATAATATTACAACAAACAAAACAATAAGACTTTCCAATAATGAGATTCTGTGAAAACATAGCTATTATTGTTTTTATCAAATGTTTTATTTGTATTTCACTATTAAGTGCACAGAATAATAGCCATATTAGTGGTGGTGACCAAACACTAGTGGTTGTGCTAAACGATGACAACACGTCTACTGTTTTGCAAACTCCAGGTTTTCCAACAAAACATTATCCTAAAAATTATAGAGTTAACTATGATATAAAGGTATGACATTTAACACAACAACAACTAAAATGTTTATATAATTTTTTATAAACTTTAACTTAAACTAATAAAACGAAAAAACAAATTTTAGGTCAATTTAAGCGAACGGATCCAACAATTGTCTTCACGTTTGAGAATCAAATTAGAATATATAGCTATAGAGCCATCAGATCATTGCAATGAATCTAATTTACAAATAATATTCCCAATGGGAGAGATCAGAGTGTATGCATTACATAATATATCTATTATTTAATTATTTACTTATATTTAAAGCTTCTCTCTTTCTTTCTTTCTCTCTCTCTCTCTCTCTCTCTCTCTCTCTCTCTAACTATCTTTCTGTTTGTCTATCCATATGTTTTCACATTAAAAAAAATCTGTATAGATTTTGTGGTCTACATGCGGGCAAAACTATGATCTCTGACTCGGGTACGGCTCGGGTAGAGTTCAAAGGTAACGACTTAGAACAGGACAGAGGATTCAAGATTGTCGCCGATATTATTCGATCCAATTGTTCCCAAAAATTTGTCAACAAAACAGATGTTACCATCGAATCGCCAAACTATCCGAACAATTATGACGAAGAAACTACCTGTGTTTGGGAGATAGAGGTGCCAAATGGGAAATTTATTAAACTCACATTTGACGGTCCAATCGATATCAATGTCCCCAATAGCAACATCTGTGCCGAAGATTATCTATTAGTCAGTCAAAGTGGCGATTTTGATGTCGATGTTCAACGGTTTGTATATAAAAATATATATATATTGTTTTAACTTATTTTTTTTTTGTTAGTTTAATGATAATTCCTTAACATTTTAGTAATGATAATTGATTAGTATATAACTAATTAGTGTAATTATTTCTCATTTAAAAACATGTGTCACAAAATAACATTTAACAAAATGTTCACAATTAGTAATTTTACTTTTAAAAATAACTAATTATTGCTAATTTAATTTATTAATTATCATACTAATAATGTATATTTTAATACAAATATGTTAATCTTAATTTTACTACTAAACTATTTATATAAATTAATGTGTTATCTAAAAAAAGCATACAAAGCTAAAAAATATATAGTATTATTAATAATATTCAAACACAAAATTAGCAAGTTACTTTATCTGTGTTTGATAAATAAAAAATCAATTAATAATATAGATCCGTGTTAAATATATATTGTATATAAAAATAATTAATTATATTAAAAGTTAAAACATACTCACAGTTTTAATTAATAATAAAAAATATAACATTCAATGTTGACATACAGATTCTGTGGTAACCAGAATCCCAGTCCTATAATAAGCACATCAAACAAAATGCTTATTAAATTCAACTCAAACTCTGCAAACACTGCCAAAGGATTTCGGGCAAAGTTTGTTGAACACGACAGACCTGAATCAGCACCGGCTAGACTACCGATGCTTACGCCCGAGGGTTGTCGTAAGTCAATAAACTTTGTATAACTTATAACTTATTGATTTTCAAATTAATTAACTAATGATTATTATTATTATATCCAATTTAAAAGCTTGTGGTAAAGAAAATCTGAGATTTAAACGCATTGTCGGCGGTAGTGAAGTAAATCCTGCACATCGTTATCCATGGATGGTATCAATTGGATCCAGTCGTGGCTCTCCCTTCTGTGGCGGCGCTCTTATAAACAATTTGTATAAAAAAAATTAATTTTAAAAAAGACATAATAAAAATTTTAATATTTTATAGATACGTATTAACAGCTGCTCACTGCGTGGTGGATGAAAATCCCGAAAGTATTGGCGTACGTATTGGTCAGCATAGTCTACAAGAGCCGACTCCCATATTGAAGATATCGGCGATCAAATTACACGATGACTATGATTCTGTGTCCCAGAAAAATGACATCGCAGTGCTTCGGCTCCAGAATCCGATCCAATACAACGAAAACATAGAACCCGTTTGTATACCTCCGAGCGATCTCGACGATCCCGACGGTCTCTGGGTATCCGGTTGGGGTCGTACTGATGAAGGCGGACGTACCAGTGATCGGCTAAACGAGGTAACACTACCGCAGTACTCGTTGGCCAAATGCGAGAACAAATACGCCGGTTTGGTCAGCGATAAACAATTGTGTGCCGGAGGTATCAAAGGACAAGACGCTTGTCAGGGAGATTCAGGCGGTCCTCTGCAGTCAAAAATTAACGGAAAAGTCAATATTGTTGGTATTATCTCATGGGGTATCGGTATGTCATATCTGATTGTCAACTTAATCTACTGTATATTATATTAACTTTTTATTTCAATAAAAAAAACAATTACTTCGACAAAGGATGCGCGCGTGAGAACTATCCGGGAGTTTACACACGAGTCTCAGCTTATTTGAAATGGATTGAAGACAAGACCCGAGACGGCACCTATTGTTTGGCAGACAACTCGACCTCCAATTTAATTGACCAACCGATTCAACCGAACTTTGAAAGTTGCGGTATTCCTAACCATAAATTATCAAAAAGAGTTGTCGGCGGAACAGAGACAATACCTCAAGAGTTTCCATGGATTGTATGAACTTATTTGTATTGAATAAATGGATGTCATAATTATAATTGTCAATCACTTTGTATTTTAGGTCGTAATTGCAGTCAATAACCAAATTATGGGAAGCGGTTCACTAATTGCGGCAAATGTTGTGCTGACTTCAGCACATAAACTCAAAGAAATTTATGACAAAAATCGCAATCCGGATATCAAAGTGATTGTCGGCGCACACGATGTGACCAAAAGTGAACCAAACAAACGTGTCTATAGAGTCAATCAAATCATATTTCATCCGAAATTTGGTCAAAACGCTCCGCTCGACAATGATTTTGCAATTCTAGAGCTCAAGTCAACTGCCGAAGGCTTTCTGCCGCAGAACCGACCCGTTTGTCTGCCGAGAAGCGATACGCCATACAAAGTGGGCGCTTCGATCATCGGCGCCGGTTGGGGACGTACTTCGACTAACAGTGCCGGCAGTAGAGTGTTGAGAAAAGTCGAATTACATCTATCGAGTAGATCCCAGTGCTCCAGAATTTACAAGTACTTGACTGATTCAATGATATGCGCTCAGGAAGACAAAAAAGATATGTGTACCGGTGATGAAGGGGCACCACTTATGCAGTATTTTGAGGGTCGTATGTATTTGTTTGGTGTCTATTCGTATCAATCATCGAGTGGTTGTGTCAGTGGTAACCCCAGTATCTTTGGCGATGTCAGGTATACTCTCGAATGGATACGCGATGTAACCAACAATGCCATCAAAACGGCTTAAGTGGTTAAACAAATGAATTACTAAAAAATGAATGAAATGTTTTGCAAAATAAAGTTTTCATTTATTGACTAAAAATTTCGTTAACTTATATCTATAATATATGTTTTAAATTATTTAATAGTAAATTGTTTGAAAACTTTTGAAAAGTAAAAAGTTTGTATACAAAAAACATTACCAGTAATTGTCGTATTAATTGATTTTAATTGTATCTCATTAGTGAAAGTGATATAACTTTAATTAAAAAATTTATATATTTTGGACAACAAATAAATAACCAACAATTTAGATTAAATATAATTAAATTATATTTACATAATTAATACATAAATTGGTTTAACATTAGTATTGATATTCAAAAAAAAAAGTTTCCGATTCTGTATAATCTCATCACTTATTCATTGATTACGTCATTGATGTCAATGTAGTGAACAATACTTTACATTACATTCAAAAAGCATGTGTTTGTCATTGCATTGAATAATACATTGGATTTAAATGTGTTTACAAAATCATACCATACTTTCAATTAGTTGTTCTTCAGATATCATATAATATTATTATTATTAACCATCAGTTTCGGTGATCACACCATGAGGTCAAACAACAAGAAGAAAAAGTCGACACCGAAGAAAACACTTGTTAAAGATAGCCGTCAAACAAATGGTGTCAATGGTGGCTATCAAGACGTTGACGAAGATGTCGATGAAGACAACAACCAGATTGTCGACCAAAAGAAGACGATTCAATCAATTGACGATAAGTCGGCGATAGTCAACACCACAAATGCCAAATCAGTGAAGACCGGGAACATCAACAACGAGTTGATGGCAGATATCGCCGAAAATGGCAAATACTTTTCAGCGCTCATCGATTTTATTCCACCGAAGATCTACTTCGAGGGCAACGACGAGATAATGGAATCGATGGACAGCCAGAAGAAGCAGCGAATGGCCAACAATACAAAATCTGGGCCAAAGGGTAAACATTTGAGGTTTAAATTGGATCCCAATTCAGACAAACGTGTATCAGATATTGCTTCAGAGTTTTACGGCAATAGTAATGCCAACAAAAAGACGAATAACTCAAATAAAACAAAGAAATTAAATATCAATTCAAAAGACCAGAAAATGCAAGAATTAAAGCAAAAGTTGAACCAAAAGATTATTGAATTAAAGTCGAGAAGAGGTCAGAAAATAAACGCAAAGTCGTTGAGAGAAAGCAAAACTGAAAGAAAGAGAATTAATTCAATGAGAGCTAAGAAACAGAAAGGTTTTATCAAAAGTGAACAACAATTGAATGCAAATCAGACGACAACTGATGACCAAAAGCCCGACGACTCTATGGAAACAATAATCAAAAACAATCACAAAAAGATTAAACGCGAAGTACATGAGGACACGGAAGCAACGATTCCTGAAAAAGTCAAAGAAAAGTTACCGAAAATCTATAATAGCGACGGAAATATTGTTTACTCGAAGTTTGATTTTTTTTCGACTAATGAATCGCTAAGTGAAACGAAAAAATTGTCGAAAAAGAATAAATTAAAGAAATTGTTGGCAAAAACAAAGATAGAAGAAAACAAATTGTCTCATTTGGAGGCAACGGATAGTATGAAAGCTAAACAATTCAAAGAGAAAAAGTTATGGAAGAATGCCATCGACAGGAGTGAAGGCATCAAAGTTAAGAATAGCTCGAAAATGATTGAAAAATCCATTAAAAAGAAAAAACAATTGAAACAAAAGAGCGCTAAGAAATGGTCGGAAAGGAAGGAAGCGTTGGAGAAGAGGATGAACGCCAAGAGTGAGAAACGAAAACGAAATATTGATCAAAGAAAGACTGATAAGAAAGAGAGGAATATTAAGAGACAGAAGAAAAAGGGACGCATTTTTGACATCAAATGATAATAATATTAATAATAATAGTTTAGAAAACAAAAAAAAGAAAAATAATTATTTTAAATAATTTATTGTGAAATAAGTATAAAAAAAGTATTTATTTGTTTGCGATATTTACCGTATGTTACGGTAATAATAATATTTTTGTTAAAAATACTGTTTCATTGCACTTGTTTTTTGTGGAGAGACTATTATATATCATATATAAAATAGTGACTTATTTTTTGGTAAATAAATTAAATGACTTTATATTATGGTTGAAAATATTTGTATTGTTTTTTTTTGTGTCAAACATTTTTCATTTTAATGAATGCAAAGACGGCCACAAACATGAAGAAAGCGGTTCCGATTCCGATGGGTATTCCTAATGACAGTGCCATTGATTCGCGGGGAAAAAACTCACGAATCAGATGCTTGTCGTTAACCATTGGTATAACAATTATCCAAACCGTATAATAGATGAGTGACAGTGAACTGACAGTTAGCAGACCGACACCCAGTTGTCTGTCGTATCCCTTAATGTAATGCAAATCACAAACTAATTATTGATTTGATATTTATTTATTTATTTTTAATCAATACATACAATGAAGTCGACTAACATTTTTGTTGTGTCCCTTAAATAAATGTGTGACCAATGCTAGTGATGGCACGCTATAACTGTTTGCTTATTATAGTATTATCATTATTCTATGTATAAGTAATACTGTATTACTATTATAATAATAATAAATAATAATAAGTAAAATATAATAATAGACTTTTTAAATGCAAATTCAATGGTTTTGTACAATCAATTGGCATTTCAATACAACAACACAATCACATGTAATAGAGAGAGAGAGAGAGAGAGAGCGCTCTCTATTGATATTAAATGTTATAATATTTTTTTTTTAAAAGTTGCTAAAAATGTTAATTAATTTTTATTACCAGAATTAAACAGAAAAAAATTATTAATTTAAAAAGTTAAATGATTTTTTTATAGTTTATAGATTTTATTGATTAAATATCAATGAAACCAACAAAAGTTTTTTATTTATTTATTTGTTTTTTCCCGAAGACATTGTATTTACAAAAATAAAATTTAGTTTTCATTAACTCCTTTTTTCCCGACAATAGCTCTATAAGAATATGTTTGTCTGAGACTAGCATTAAATATAATGACTTATATAATAATATAATAGTAAAAACAAATAATTTATTTTATATACTCTGGTAATCCACTTATGTCTTCATAACACTGGGAGATATAGCACACACTTTACAGTATTACTATAACTATTTAATATAATAATATAACATACGGTTCCTGAATGGGTGTCGGCCTAAAAATAGCACCGTTTGGTCGACAAAAATATTCAACGCATTCAGCCTTCACTTCATTTCTTGTATCTATAGATAAATATTTTTAATAGTAAAATGTGTTTTATTAATAGTAGGAGAAGTCGTATTTTTTGAAGCGACACTCACTTTAATAATAAAATATATATCAAATATTAGATTAAAAAATTATGTGTTAATTGACATAAAAATGATAAATATTTTATAAGCTTTTCACAAAAAATGTATTGATATTCTGGATTTGTTTAATATTCTGCGAGAATATTCCGCATAAATATCTATCTATTATTATTATTATGTTTAATATTTGATTAATTTTTTGTTTTCAAAAATCAAATGTATGTCCTCCTGACATGAGTGCTAACTGTCCCGGTTTTAAAGCTCATGGTGTGAATCCTACTCGTTGTCGACGATGTTTTAAGGATTATAGCGAACATGTCATCAAAGATGAGCCAACTATTGATAATAAAAAGAGCGCTTCCGGTGCCGACACCACCAATAGTGAGTCAAATAATTTATTTATAAAAATATCTAATAAATTGTAAAATCAATTACCAAAAAAAAAATACATTTTTCTCAGCACTGATAGTGTCAGAGAAATTTTTGTTTGCTTTTATTTGACGGAATTTTTTTAAGCAATTGATAAGAAATAATTTTATTTTATTTTTTTTAGTATCCAATTAAAATTTTTCTACACTAATGTCTGTTTAGTCTATTTTTTATTATTATTTAAAATTTTTATCCAAATTCTGTATGATTTTTTAAACAGGATTTCTTTAGTTTATTTATTTTTATGTTTATCATTAAAGACAAATTAAGTAAATTTTCTAAAATTAAATTTATATTAGAAAAACAAATATATAATATATATGTGATTATTTGTTTTTATAAAAATTAAATGATTCGTTAAAATATTTATATTATTCATCATAAATAAACATATAAATCTAGTCATTTGTTTTTACATATCATTGGATATCAAAACATTGCTAAACAATTATTTATATATATATATATATATATATACTGTATGTATATATTTATTTTTATTCAAAATTATCCATTATAATATAATGTGATATTTAAAAATACACTTTAACTGACAGTAAGCCTTAAATTATACCATATAAACAAATATTATTTGAATAAATTTGTTTTTTGTGTATAACACATAAGGCTGTGACACAAATAATAAGTTCATAAAACTAAGACTTAATTTCCAAAATTAATTTCTCCTACAAAATGAAAAGCATAGCTAATAATGTATAGTGTTATACAATTATAGTGTTTTTTATTGGCAAATATACAAACTATTTAGCCATTTATTAATATTAGTTACAATTATATTGTCATATATTGTTATTAAAGTATGTAACATAAAAATGTTAGATACAATTGTTTATAAATATATACTTTGTATATAAAATAAAAATTTAATAAATATTAATTTAACTAATTAAAATAACTATTAACTTTAAGACAATTAACTATAATTTAAATTAATTTAAAATTAAATATTGATACCGGAATTGTTTCTTATCATTAATAATATCAAACTTTATTTATAGGTTTTTGAGATTTTTTATTTTAATTAGACAGTTATATACCGTACAGTACAGTATATTACAGTACTATATACTGTATATAAAGTTTATTTTTTTAAATTTTGATAATTTTTTTTTGTTAATTAATTAAACAGAAAAAAATCAGTCCAATAGTCTTATTCTGCCATCAGTTTCCTATCCAACCACTTCTGGCGATGATTCACAAGAAAACACAACAACTGTTCGACTTAGAAGTCGAACTCGAGAACTGCCAAAATTGGACGACAATCCTACCGCCGGTACTGACCAACAAACAAGTCCTGGCGGACGGCGGACTACTCGTCCTAAATCATCAACGGACACAACAACACCGACTACATCGTCTACTTCCACAACATCGGCAACCGTTTCATTAAACAATAACTCTTTAAGAAACCGAACTAAAGCATCGGAGCTTCGACTGGAACCAGAAGGAGCAGACTTTAACGACAAGACGTCATCGCCATCACCGAAGAGTTCGGCACCGAAACGGATACAAAAAATATTGCAAACAGAAGAAAGTGGAGGACATCTGGGCGGCGGCGAAGATCACACAGATTCGCCGGATGTAGAGTTTATACTTCGGGTTAAAACTGCCACAAAAGCCAAAGAAGCTGATGAAGAAAGCATTGCTTTTACCGATACCACTGAAACAACTCTGTGCGCCAGTTCTGCCGATATTGAAGAATATCAGACAAAAATTTCTAGTCTTTTGAAACAATTAGATAAATCTGAAGACAGTATTAAACAATTGGATAAACAAAACAGTGAATTGCAGGCAAAAATCAAACGAATGGAAAAACTTCAGGAAAACAGAGCCAAACAAATCACCGAAAGTGACAAACAGGCCATCGAAAAGACTGCATCGGAACTATTAAAACTTCGTGGAAGATGTAGAGAATTGGAAGCATTGAATACAGAATTAAAAGATGAAAAGAATGTCCTAAGAATTGAAGTGAAAGAACTGACTCGAGAGGTGGAGGTTATGAAGAAGGATAATCCTAAAGAACTCAAAGAAACGATTACTAATTTAAGACTAAAATTACAACAAACAGAACATTTGGTGGAGAATTTGACGGAAGAAAATGAAGAAATTAAAAAAGATGTCAAAGCTTTGGAGATTGAGTTCCAAGAACTTCACGATAACTTTCGAGAGGATCAGTCATCAGAATTTCGTGTTTTGAAACGAGAGTTAGAATCGTCGTCAAAGAATTGTCGAGTTCTTCAGTTTAAGCTCAAGAAGGCTGAGAGAGGTATCGAAGTCATGGAAAACGATAAATTAGAACTCGAGAAGAAAGTTAAAGATCTATTGGAGACAACAAAAATAGATGTCGACAAACAAAAGATGAAAGAATTGGAAAATGAACTGTCGATTGCTAAAGAAGTATCGCTTAGATTACACGCAGAAATTGAAACACTAAGAGAGGAACGGGTGGTTTTGGAACAACAGTTGACTGAAGGAAGAAATCCATCGCAACAAAAGTCGCTGAATCGGTTGTCGACGGGTAAACTATCGCCATCGGTATCTATCGATGGAAAAGATTACGAACAAGTGATCAGAGATTTGTACGACACTATGGAACGGGAAAAAGATCTTCAGGAACAGATGAAATTTGCTGAAGAAGAAACAAGAACTTTACGGAAAAAATTGTCGACAATGGAGTCGGAGAATGAGATACTGTCGATGCAGATCAGGAAAATGGTTAATCAAAAGTCAAAGAAAGGTGGAGATATTGGCGACGACGATACAGACGAGTTGAGTATCGATGAAATGAAACTCAATCTGGAACTCTATGAACAAGAAATGATTGTTTTGAGAAGAAAAACGGATGAGTTGGAACAGGAAAACGATAATTTCCAACAAGAGATCAAGTATTTACAGGACAAACTTGTGTCGCAACCGTTGGTCAAGATAGAGATGCCCGAACTACCGCCCGGTTCGCCACCAAATGTCATCTATGAGCACAAGTTTCGCATACTTGAAGCCGAGGCAAGAGATCTGCGCAAGAAATTAGTGGACAGAGAGAAGGAGTACGAAAGCCTGCGTACAGAGATTGAAGTTCACAGACGAAAGGCGTCTAAAGTTATTATCCGAAGTAGAAGTTTGGATTCCGAACAACAGGTTGATCTCAAAAGACAGTTACAACTTGTGGAACAAGAGGCCAGTATTTTAAGACAAAAACTTATGTCTTTGGAAAATGAAAACGACAAACTAATCAATGATAACAAGAGATATCAGTTGAGACTTAGTCGAAAGCCACCGCCCGGACCGGCAGATCAACTTCAAGTGGAAAATATTGAGCTCAAGGATAAAATCAAAGACTTGGAGCGCAGATGCGAAAACATTAAATCAGATCTGATGGCCAGCAAATCGCAGCCTAATTTGAACTTTTTGATGAGTGATACAGAAAGTGATTTAATCAATACATTGAAAAAACAATTGAAAATCAAAGAAACAGATATAACTGAACTTAACGCCCGATTATCACAATCGGATGTTGAATGCAATCGACTTAATAGAGAATATAAGAAACTCAAGGAAACGGTGTCCGCTAAACGGCATCCGACTCGTGTGGTCCGAGAGACGGCCACTCGCGGAGAGTTGAAAGAGATTATTAAAGAAATGGAAGAAGACATCAATGATTTGCACAATACTGTCAAAGGAAAAGACTTAATATTAGAAAATCTGAACGAAGAACTAAGTGAAGTGAAACGTGATCCGGATAACCATTACAATGGTTCGGGTGGTGTCACCCAAAACGGTTCCGGCGTTTTACAAGTAAACGAAAAACTACGCAAAGAACTTGAAAACGAACGAAAAAAATCCCATACATTGCAGATGAAAATGGATTCATTTAGCAAAGAAAAGGGTTTCGATTTGAGTGCATTGGATAACTTGGATGTATTACAAGCCGAGAAAAAACAGTTGGCCATCAAATTGGATGATATTCAAGAAGAATTAACTCGTGAGAAAACGAAGAGCGAAGATCTGAGCCAAAAGGTAATTGCTTTGAATAAATTGCAAGAAGAGTTGACCAAAAAATTTAAGACAATTGAAATGCAAAACGAAAAGTTTGAAGACGAATGCGATTCCACTAGAGATCAGTTGAAGAAAAGTGATAACAATTTAAAAGAAATGACAAACAAATGTGATTTAATTACCAAAGAGTTAAGTGATTTGAAAAAAGTTTCCCAACAATTGAAAATTGAGGTAAAGTTTGTTTTTAATTATTTTTAAATTGTTTTTTAATGTTTAAATTGATCGATAGCTTGATAGAGAAAAATTGAAATCAAATGCTAATAGCAATCAATCAGGTGGTGGTGTAACCACAGTCATGCAGAAAGAAATCGATGAATTGAAGAAAAAATTAAATGATATGACCATCAAAGCGGATAATTTGCGAAAACAAAATGAAGAATTAGATAAAGAATTTAAACAGAAAGAGTTGAAACTGAAAGAAGAAACGGCAAAAAAAGTAGAGATTGCTGTCAATGGTGTCCGAAAGGAAGTCCACTTAGAGTTACAACAATTGAAAGAAGAAACTAATAATTCTAAGTCAAAGATTAGCGAATTGAACGACCAGTTAGACAAAGCCAATAGAGAATTGAAAGAATCAAATGATAGGTTAAGAGTTAATACATCTCAAGTACGTAAAGAAAGAGATGACCTCCAGAACAGGTTAAGCGACTTAGAGTCACAGCTAAGAAGTGATAGTAAACGACGAGAAAAGTTGGAGAAAGAACACGAATTGACAATTAAGAGCAAAGATCAGGAATTGTTTCAAACGAGAGAACGAATTGTTCAAATGGAAAGAGAGCTTCGGAAGAGTCAACAAAAACTGGATAATACTGAATACGAATCCAACAATAAAGTGGTTAGTCTGGAGAAAGATTTGACTAAAGAGCGAGAGGAATACGAAGAGTTGACCAATAAGTATGATTTATTGGAAAAAGAATTTCTGGAAATGAAGTCCAGATTAGTGACCGAAAAGGAAACATTGGCTGAAGCCGTGTCCACAATACGCAAGAGTTATGACGAAAAACTTATGGAAATTAAATCACTGAAAGATATGCTATCGAAACGACAGAAAGAATGGGTGAAAGAGAAATTAGATCTTCAGGAAAGGTCGGCATCGCTGGAGTCTAAGGTCAGTCGGGCGTCATTTGTTATCGAAGAAAACTTAAGACTCAAAGAGATGATCAATGAAAAGGAAAGTCTATTGGAATCGTATCGAAAGGAAGAAAAACATGTGAAGACGGAAAGGGATAACTTAAGGAAACGTTGCGATGAGTTGGCGATGAAGATCGCGGATATGGAAAAAGTCGAAAGAATGACCAGAACTGTAAATATTACGGGAAAAGACAAGGAATTACAAGAATATAAGATTAGATTAGAACACACACAGACATCCCATAAGGGAGAAGTGGCAGCACTTCATGCAGAATATGAGGGAAGGATGAGACTAATGGGTGATGAAATCAATGAATTGCAGAGACAGATAGCATTCTTGGCCAATGAAAGAGATAGATTTAAAGATCAATTAAATAGAGATCCCAGTCTACGTCGGGCATCCAAATATAAAGATGAAGTCGAAGATATAGCGGCACAATTATTATCGTTGAGATCGGATCTGGAGGCGGCTCTGCTTGAGAATAGAAATCTTAAGATTCAATTCGGTACCGAACGAAGCGGTTGGCAAATACAGAGCGCTGAACTCAAGACACAAATCAATCAATTAGAAGAACGTATACTTTTGGACACAGCTAGAGGTTCGACCAGAAGCTATGTGAAGACTAAACTGGAGTTGGCCTGGGATAAGGAAAGACAGGAAAACCTACGGTTACTACAAGAAACACAAAAGTTTATACAAGACTTGAGAGATAAGCTAATGAATACAGAAAAGGTTAGGGAAAAGGATAGACTCGAACAGAGAAAACAATTACAAGATTTGAAGTCTGGAATGGATAGAGAGTCGGAGGACACACATAAACGGGTCAGTGAATTGCAATTGGATTTACTGGATCTTCGAGAAGCGCACGCAAAGGTCAGGTCACAAAATGAGAGACTTAGACGCGAGAGAAACGCTTATGAAGGAGAAAGAGAGGAATGGAAGAACACTGTCTTCTCTGCCTTTGACATACAAAACAAAGCACATGAAATACTTGGTGAGATCGAAGAGATCACCAAATTGATTCCCAATGAACCCGATAAACCACCGGACAGTGAGACAACACCAACAACAACGATGACGACTACTGTTGTTAGGAGACGTAAAACACAGAATGCTATCAATATTGTAGAGTTAAGAAATTTGGTGACAAATCTCAAGACAAAAAGTGACGAAATAAAAAACTTATCGCTTCCGACCAGAGATGTCGATAGATTAAAGTATTCGGTGGCATTCAAGAGGACTATCTCTGCCCAGGATATGCCTGTAATGAGAGGTTCTTCTCAGTCATTATCTCGCGCACCACTTCCGCTGCCAAGAGAAATAATCAGAGCTCCGCCGCGACCAAAGGCATTGGCCAAGAAAAGTGTGTCTCTCGACTACCAAATCGGCGCATCCGGACAGAGAGGTGCATCTCAAGAGCGCATTTGGGAATCGGGAGACTCGGCCAACACTACGCCCACATCCAGTGTCAGTAATTTACGAGTTTCCGGTCATTATCGTGGATTTACCGCTCTTAGTGGTTACGAATCCGATGCATCCCATTCCAGATACACTCGTGAAGGCTCTTTTGGTGCTGATTCAGATACATCACTACCAGCTGTTCCACAATCCAAGAAATCTCTATTCAAATTCATCAAAAAGACAAGAAGTATAGAAGACTCGACAATTGGAGGGGGTATTGCCAGTGCAGGTCTTACATCGCTAGCAGTTCATGGCTTCGAAGAGAGTCCTATAGAGTTGGCTAAACAAAGACAAAAGAAAGAAAATTCTTTGAAACATAAGATTTCGAAAACACTGTCGAAGACATTCAGCAGAAGTTCCTCATCTTTGCAGACAACAGAAGACAAAAAAGAGAAGAGACCGACTTCGCCGAATCGGGCGCTTTCACCGACCAGAAAGTCTGGAAAACCATCACCAGTACCTTCGGATCAAGAAGTAAGTGAAACAATAATTATTAAATTATTATTAAATTTGTTTTCAATCACTTTTAAAAAAGGGTTACAAATCTGGTGCAAAACCAGCCCTAAGTGGTGTGACATCATCGATGTCAACACAACGACCATTGGTCTCCAAACTGGCAATACCACCGTCAACACGACCCGTACCACCTCAACCCGTGTCGAGGTTCAGGAGTGAAACTAATGTATAATAAAACTTATTTCGATTATTTTGGTTTTTATTATTTGTAGATTTTTTTGTATAGAAAACATTGTATTTCAAGTAGTGATTTGTTAAAACATATGATTTGTTAAATAATAAAAAAAAATTGTTAACAAAAAATATCTAATTTTTAATTATTCTAATAATTATAATTCATTTGTTTGTTTTTTAATCAACAAATCATTTGGTCATTGAATTCCCCCCATAAATCTATATAAGATATCTATCATTAAGTAATTTATTATATCATAAATATTTATTGTATTGTATTTTTAAAAAAGAGTTTTAAATTTTGGTTTTCAAATAAAATAATAAATCAAATAAAAAAATAAGTTTTATTTTTTTATACATTTATGGCAAGTTTTGATTGTATGACATTTATCATATAATAACTTATTATTATTATTATTAATAATAATACCCTAAAATATTGATATCAGGAAATTGCTAACAGAGTGAAAGTGCATATTATTATTATTTGATTGCAAAATATGATAGAAAATAATTAGAAAAAATATATGAAATAAAAAAACAAGTGCCACTTATTTACCGCATTTTTTATTCAATGCCAAACAGATAATAATAATACATGTATTTGTGATAAAATAACTAAAAAAAATAAAATAAAACTCAAGGCTAGGAATCACTCTATAAGTCAGGTGAGGTAATTAGCAAACTGTTTGGTACTAATAAATACATATAATATAATGCAATTCATTGCACAATACATTGTATGTGTGTTTTTTGTAGTGTCATATAACTAAATAACAACTTTTTTTATTTAAACTTTTTATTTTGTTGTTTGCCTATAAAAAATTATGTACAGAGAAATTTTTATCATTTAAACTATTCAACAAATTTTTAAAATAAAAATTAGACAAGTGTTTTTTTGCTTAATATTAACAAACAAAAAAAAATAAAATTTTACTATAAAACTGTATAATATTCATAAAAGCATTATAACATTACTCTCTCTCTCTCTCTCTCTCTCTCTCTCTCTCTCTCTCTCTCTCTCTCTCTCTCTCTCTCTCTCTCTCTCTCTCTCTCTCTCTCTCTCTTTCTCAATGATACACAACATGTGTGCAACTATTTTGCATATTATTATTAAATACCAGTAAAATGTTTACTATTATTGCATTACATGACGTTATTGATGTCTACGTGATATTCAATGATGCGATTATTTAATACTTATTTACTGTATTTATGTTTTCAAAAGAGAGTACACTTTTCTGTCTATATATTGACTGTAATAACTAGTGTAGAGTAGAGACAAAATGTTACGTTAAATGTCTGATTCACTCAACACTACTATTATATTATTGACTATAATCTCTGCAATAGATTTTATTTTCGTGTGAATCTCATTATTAAATAAATTAATACACTATTTCTTATACTTAACTAAATATTAAAAAAAAACTGATAACAAATAATAATTTAATCAAAAATAGCGATTATTTTTTTTTGTCAAAAAACTATATGTGTTTATATTAGTTAAACAGTTGAATAATTATATATAAAAATGTAATCTTAATAAAAATTATATCATATTTTTTTGTTTGTTTTTCTCGATAATATGTTAACTGAATTACTGGTCAATACTTTTAGTGTTAATTTGTATAAACAGTTTAAACAAGTATTGTGTGTAATATTGTTGTATAAAAACGTTTAATCACTTTAATAAATAAACGTCAGACCAAATCATATGATATTACTTTTAAGTACAGTATTTTGAAATCAAATTTTTTTTTGTTTCGCTATTATATTAACGTAATGCCTGTCAAACCAGTAATAATAATGCATTGCTTTATTGAATACTGAGTTTTATTAATATATTAATACAATATATAATTATAATTTGAATATTAAGTCATTATTTGAATGACTATTAAACTGATTGTCTATTTATTAGTTTGTTTGTCTCAACCAATGATTTTTAAGACAACGTTTTGATAGCAAATTGTATGCCATTTGATGTATTAAATCATATATTCCTATAAAAATCATTGAATAATAATAATAATAATTAATTAATTAATGTGATGTTTATATAATAGAAATATCAGTTCAAATATCAAAGTTTTTTTTTATTTGCTAAACTTATGTAATATTAATAATAATATTTTATTTAATAAATAATAATAATAATAGAGATATTGTTGTAAAATCATTAGTTGTTATACAGTATTATATAATAGAGTTTATATAATATAATATAAAATAATAATAATTAATATATGAATTGATTATTACATTTTGAAAATCATTAGTCAAGCGATCATCAGATTAGGCGTTAGATTTGATTATTGCATTCAAACAGTTGTTGTGTCGACAGACAGACTGACACACAGACAGAGTGACACTCTTGAGATTATCACCAGAAATAACAACTCATTGAATAACAACTCTTGATTTAGTTGTGTGTTTCAACAATAAATCAATTGATTCATTCATTCATTTAGTGGTCAATCAATTGAATGGTTTGAAGTGTTAATTTGATTTGATTGACAATGAATTACATGAAGTCATTCTTCAGCAATTTTAAAGAGTTTTACAATGAGATCAACTCAGCGACACTGACCGGTGCTATAGATGTTATTGTTGTTGAACAGGCAGATGGCACATACAGGTGCTCACCATTTCACGTACGCTTCGGTAAAATTGGTGTACTCAGGAGTCGCGAAAAAATGGTAATAATTTTTTGTTTATATGATATTTGATTTCTTATTTAATCATTAATGTCTTCTTTTATATCTTAAGGTCGATATTGAAGTTAATGGACAACCGGTTGATCTGCACATGAAATTAGGCCATTCGGGCGAAGCTTTCTTTTTTGAAGAGATTATCGAAGAGGAGCCGAAAGAGCCAAAGACATTGAGAGAGTCGGCGCCGTCGCCCACCTCTGATGACAATGAGAACGGTTGGCTTTCCGATACATACTTGTCCTCCGGTAGTGATGCCGACATTGATGAGAACGCACAGCCAAACGGCGAGATGAAGGATGCGAGCGAACAAAAAGATAAAAAACAAAAGACTAAATACAAGAGAAAGTTACGATTATCGACGCAACAGATCGAAGATTTGAATCTAAAAGATGATAAAAACGAAGTGGTATTTAGTGTGACGACAGCCTATCAGGGAACCACTACTTGCAAGTGTTATATATATAAATGGAGATTCGATGACCAGATTGTCATCAGTGATATCGACGGCACAATTACTAAGTCTGACGTTTTGGGTCACATACTGCCCATTATTGGCAAAGACTGGGCTCAAGCGGGTGTCGCCAATCTGTTTACTTTGATTAAGAAAAACGGCTATAAATTATTATACCTCTCGGCCCGAGCCATTGGTCAGGCAACCGGTACTCTAGACTATCTTAAAAGTATACGACAGGGTGACTGTGTATTACCCGACGGGCCGCTACTACTTTCCCCCACCTCATTGATTGCTGCACTTCATAGGTATTTTGAAAAATTGATACAACAATATTGACATTGAATTTAATTATATTGTTATTTATTTTTTTGTTTAGGGAAGTGATTGAGAAAAAGCCCGAAGAATTCAAAATTCAATGTCTTCAAGATATTAGTGATCTCTTTTCTCTTTCACCATTTTATGCCGGATTTGGTAACAAAGTTAATGTAAGGATTTATTTGATAATATATTTTTATTTAGAAATTATTATTGAAAAGTGTTTTTTAAAGGTTATCTAAATATATTGATATTAATATGTGATTATATGATATATTTATTTTGATTGCATAATATAGGATGCCTGGGCTTATCGTGCAGTAGATATACGGCCGTCCCGTATATTTACAATCAATCATAAGGGAGAACTCAAATTGGAGTTAATCCAAAACTTTCAATCTTCGTAAGTGTTTTCTTTATTTTTATTTTTTAAATATTATTATAACTTTATTAAACCCTTTCTTTTTTATCTCACAATACTAACAATTGGTGCCAAACCTTATGACTTGAAATAATTATTTTTAATAATAATAATTTATTTTTAATTATTTTTATTTTGCCATTAGTTACACATCGCTGAGCGATTTGGTCGACCAAATGTTTCCACCCCTTCATTCCGATCAAACCGACTATTGCACCGAATATAATATGTTTGAGTACTGGCGGGAAGCCATACCTGAGATTGACGATAGCGATGATCTGTTAATTAGTTTAAACAAAGCAAACATTAGCCAAAAGTTAGTCAATGGCAAGAGTGAGCCCACAAATCGCAAAAAAGCTAAATAATTGTAATTTTAAAGATAAATTGATTTACTCTTTTTATTTTATTAGTATATTATACATATAATATTATTAATAATACCCTAATTATACATTTGTAGAATATATAGATAGTAATTATATATATATATATATAGTGTCATTTTATCATTATTTTATTTTTTTGAAAACAAAATAATTAATTTATCAGGTTAATGATTTACCGCCGATAATAATTGATTATTTACCCAACGAGTCGTCGCAATTATTTTTTTGTTGTTGTTATACCTGTGTAATGTTGATTTAAATAATTATATTTTGTTGAAAATATTTTTTACGATACATATAGATATTAAAACGTGGGTTTATATATATATATATATATTTATTTAATTATTGAATAATTGTAGAAATACATTGTTATATAAAAAATGCATTTAAAACATCTTTGATGTAAAGCACAAATAGAGAAAAAATATGAGTTATATTGAACTGAAAAACCATTTCATTAATACTATATTACTTAAACAAATATAGTTTATATTTAATTATTAATTTTTGTTTTGTTCTGTTCTGTTAAAGTAAACCAATGATCATGTCTTTCGTAGATTAAAACTGAACTATAAATATGTATATAATTAAGTATAAAAATAATTGATATTATAATTTGTGCCAATTTTTAGATAAACCGATTATAGAGAGAGCAAAGAAAATGATTATATTATTAATTATTACTATTATTATTGATGTTTTTACTTTTTTAATCGTTTATTACTGTTTAAATTTGTTCATTTGAATTATAATACAATAATATCTATTTATAAATGTGTGTGAATTTATTTAATGTCAAAATATTTCTTAATTGAAACGGCGATCAATTGTCAAAATTTTTGCGATTTTTTTAATACATGACTAACGGATGAGTAGATGTAGTAGAAGGAGGAGGAGGTCTTGAGTACAATTGAGTACAAATACAAAGGTATAAGTTTTATAGCTATTTATTTACTGAATTATATAATATAATTTATATTAAATAATAACAAAAAAGTTTATTAATGTCTGGACATTTCAATTATAATGTCAAACTAAATCGACATAAAACTAATATTATCAGTAATAGTGTTATAAAAAAAAGTTATAATCAATGTTTCTATTTTTAGACATTTTAGTTCATTTAAATATCATTTCATTTATTTCTAATAGCAAATAAATAGTTATTTATCAAAATATCATTATCATGTTTATATGATTCATGATAAACATAGATCACATAATTTTTTTAATGTATTCGTATAATATAAATTAATATTGAAAAAAACATTGCAATCCAACAACAAATAAAACAAAATTTATTTAACGGCGTATAAAGTTTTAATCATTTTAAAAAAATACATTTATTATGTACTTTACTCAATGATTAATCTAAATATGGGTTATAATTTTTGTTATATTAATTATATAATACAATAAATTTATAATAATGTACTTTGAATTATGCATGTTTTGAATGCATTTATGATTAAATAATACTAATAAACAAAATAAATATGTGATTAAGCTAATGAATAAATAAATAAATAATATTATGATAATTATATTAAGATTAATAATTATTTAACTAAATAAACTATAGTCATAGTGTTAGTTATAATTTTAAATAATTTTCAAACAAAAAAAGTTATCGTTATAGAGATATAGTCATATATGATATGTAGATCCAAATCCAGTATTAATGATTTGATCCATCATTCTTTAGTTTATCTTTAAACTCATTCTCAAATATCTTCGACCAATTGATTTCTTTGCCGTCGTCGACATTATTATTATTGTCGATCGGCTGTTGACCACAATTGAAGAAATGTTGGTAAGCAAACTTAACGTACTCTCGTTTCGGGAAATGAGTTGGAAATGGTTCAAATCGGAGCCGTTTAATCAACGACTCGGACATCATATAAGCCAAACGTTTAGCCCAACCGAGACCACAGTATATACATTCAATGTCTTCGTGATAGTTACAGTCAGTATCAGGACTGTAGTCATAGCAAGTGTTTGTCATATCGTTCTTGCATTCAACCGGTGATCGACTGATACCCATTTGCTTAAAGATTTCAAGCAATAGACACGATATATCAAATACTTCGATATCCCAGTCTTGAGCCGATTTGTTGCCATAAATTGAGTCGTTGTTATCATCAGTGGTAGTGTACTTACTGGCCAACCATTTCAATACTCCTTGATTTTGTTTTATTTGATCCTCAGCAGAGAAGACAACCAATGAATTCCTTGGATTCTTCTTTAGGAAATCTTTTTGACCCGACTTTATCAGGTCGAGCACTGCATTGCCAATAGCCTGAAAGTCATCCGAAGCCAAATCAAAATTACCTAAAGGTATCTTATGATAGGCATCCTTATGACTTATGGCTGAATAGGCGTAACCACAAGGAATTGGTCCACATTTGATGAATGAGTGATATGTACGACGAATACCATGTTTGATGGTATACTCGACGATACCGATCTCCAGTGGCAAATAGGTTTCATTGACCACACATTGAATACACGAAGACATCAAATAGATCGGTAGATCCATCAGTTCTTCCTTATTCTTGTCTTTCAACATATTAATGACTAACATTTCTGCAAAATTCTTGGGTTTAATTTCATTCTCTCTGTCAAAATCATCCAATTCTTTGCTCCGATTAGTCACTTCATTCATGTCATTCATGGGCACCGATACTGACTTTTCTGAGAACGACATCATCTGATGTAAAAAATATATCAATTTTATCATTTAATTTGTGGTCACATCTGTCTGTCTATCTATCAATCAATCAATCAATCAATCAATCAATCAATTGATCCAAACCTTCCATTCATTTCTCATATCAATTATGAAATTTGTATCCTTAAGACTGGCATTCATTTGTCGGGCCTTTTGTATTAAGAATAACTTAAATGCCTTATTGTTAGACAACTTGGGTGTCGATGAAGAAGAAGCAGAAGACATATCGATATAAATAATTTGTGGGACTTATTATCGGATCAAATGAATTGGAAAACAATTAAATGCAAAATCTATGCAAACAATCAAATTAAATGCTAAATAATTTTTTATATGATATAAATGTGTAGTCAATGCTATCAATAATAAATGGTTTTAATAAATAAATATTTTTAATAACTAATTAAATGTCAATCACTTTGAATGACACAAAAAAAGTATTTTATTTTATCATAAGTTTGACTACAAGTGTGTATTGAATGACAAAATAAAGTCAAAATACAGTCATGTATTCAACTCATTGGTCACACCATTGATTGCCTATTATATAATCTGCTATATTATAGAGTGGACTATAATATCATTATATAGTACTGTATATACTGTTCCTAATAATAATAAACTTTTATTTTGTTTAAAAGATTAATATTTTTTTTTAATTAAACAAACATTAGATTAGAAATTATTGAGAGAATTATTGGTTTTTAATTTTATTTATATATATTATTAATATTATTGTTTGAAACAAATTGAAACTTTCAAATCCTATATTAAATTTCAAAGTCAAACAATTTTATTGAAGTGTCGGACAGGAAATGACTAAACAATACTTTTAAAAAAAACTTAACTTTTATAGTGTATGTGACGTCACGTTAATTGTGTGATATTAATGACTAATAACTAAAAAATTTTTTTTATTCAACTTTTATTTGAGTCAATCAAACAAAATCACTGCACATATACACTGTGTGTGTATATTAGAGATCGATAGAAATGGTTTTGGATTATCCTAACCGATCCGAACATTGATTTTTTTTAATTAGACATTTAGTAGTCTATTAGAGAATATCCGACATATATTTTTTAATGATATTATCCGAACCGATTCGTGTGTTACTAACTGTCTAATGTGTTTCAATTACATTATGTATTGAACTGACCGACAAATATAGAGCTTTTGATTGGAGCCGACACTACACACACATACATACTGTACAGTGAACTACAGTTAAGTCAAACATAAGAGACACTCATAGTTATTGTCCACTGATTAGTGACCACTAAATGGATGACTATTTTGTTTTGACTACAAAACAAATAACAGTTGTCTTCGTCGACATCGATGTCAACAATGGATTCAATTGAATGAATGTCTCGATACCTGATTTGATTGATTTGTGTCTGAATTACAAACACTTTATTAATATTTGTCACTTCAAAGTCGGTCTCAAATAAAAAGACTAAATTAGTGGTAAAAGTCGTCTCAAAAGACGACGACTTATTATTTGAAACATTTGATTGACTATAAAGACAATACACATCCGACAAATACATTGTCTTCCGATTGTCGACACAAGAGTTTAAGCCGTCATTTAAGTGGTGACTTCGTTGTTGTCATTGATTATGTTTGGGAATAATTATCGCAAGTTGTGAACGATTTATTAGTTTTTTTCTTCAGTGTCTTCAAGTATTTAATGACCAAACAATGGAAGATATTATAAGTCGATTGAAAGGAATGCGAATTTTGTCGAAACAACTGAATTGCAAACGTTTAGATCGAAAGCTATCGCAACAAGAGATCCGCAAAGAGAAGAGATACGAACTGTTTAATTATAGACGAAGATTAGTATCGGATTGGTTTCATTTGGATGTATCCATTGCTGATGACTATCAGTATTATAGTCCCAATTTGTGCGACGACTCAAAATCATTGCAAGTATTCTTTGATTACATCAGCGGTAGCATTGAATTGAGTGACAATTCGGCTAAAAATCATTTCCAGTCAATCAAAAGATTGTTTAACGACGACCCGATGACCGCCAAACTGTTGAATCGGATGGAATTTTTCGAAAGATTGGTCTCATTTGTGTCCAATACTCGCCATTCAAATAGTATCCGATTCGGTATTCTGGATCTAATAGAAACTATTGTTTCATTAGATGAAGACATTTTGGATATAAAAGATTTAGTTATATCTAGTGGTCTGATATTTGCAGTTATGGTGACTTTGGACACGTTTGACATCGAACTCATCATTAAGATTGTGACTGTAATGCAGAAAATTACTAGTATTTCCAATGAAATTCTGACGATTGCCTTAAATGGTGGTTATCTTCGGTTTATTTTGGATCTAATAACTGTAACTCTTAATCTGAATTCAAGAAAAACGCGTACAAAACAGTGTCGACGAGTCAATGATATGAAGATAACTTTAATTCAAAGGATTTCTTATTCACTAATAATAATGGCTAATGACTTAAATAATACCAAAGAAGTTATTCCATTATTGGATGTGTTTAATAAATTGATTTATTTCAAAGATAATCAAATTATATGCAATTCATTGATGGCATTGAATGTCATTATCGGTAGACATCCAAAAGTATTTAAAATGCTTAACAATAAATTTATGCTATCGTTAACCGATTTGATTAATAAAAATAATGAAAGCATAACCTCATCGGTTATATTCTTTTGGCAAACATTTTGTCTACAATTTGATACAAATACTGATAAGATTTTGTTTAATCATATGATGGAATCAAATATGATTGCAAATATAGTAAAGATATTACGAGAATCCAATAACAATCGATTTATAAAAGAGGTAACCAATTTGATGGTATTAATCATCGAAAATAATTTGTTTGGCGTCCAAGTAATGATGCAAATCGATGTCATACCCGGAATCATATTGTCTTTAAATAGGGTCCACACACTCATACAACCACTACTTTTGCATTTTATTAATCAGATAATCATCAGAATTGATTCAACACATATGTTGACTTATTTACTAAATTGTCAACTAATCGATTGTCTATTATCACTGAATGATGAAAATATTGTTAACTATTCGTCCGAATCCTATAAATTGTTGCTAACAATTGGCCAACAATTTGGCAGAAGTGATGAAATGCTTGAAATTGCCGCTAATTATGCCATTAAAATGAAATTCAAATCAATTTCTGTTTAATTTCTAATGTAATATGAGTTACAAAAATGATGAGATAATGTTTTTTTTTATTGATTTCATGTTTACATAAGTTTTTTTCTGATCGAGTTTTTATATTGACAGTAAATAGTTAATGATTTTATTATAATCTTTTATATTAATTTCAAATTTATTGCATGTTTCTATATAACTTCTATAATCTTTTCTATATATATATTAGTGAACATAATTTAAAAATTAAACCATTATCTTAATTATATATTTATTTGTTAATCAACCATGAATTTAAATATTAAGTTAAATATGATTTTATAAATAATTTTTTTTAAATAAGATATTAATCATTTAATTTTTAGTTTATCTTATTAAAATGAAATATTGCATAATGTACTCTTGCCATAAATATCATAAGTTTAAATATTATTATTAAAATTTGTTTAAAAATGTAAATTGATCTCATAATTTAATGCGATTATTGATTGACAAAAAAGTTTTATTGAAATGAGAAGTTATATAAAATATCTGTTTATATACAAAATATAAGCTTTAGAGATACTTATGATTTAAAAAAAGTCAAAACGTTATTTATCATATATAAAAACTATTCATTAAGTATTTATTATTATTGCATAAAACAGTTATTTTTAAATATTAGAGAGAAAAATGTATTTAAATTTATTATATATTATATTTTAATATTTCAGTGAAATCTATACACACAACAAAAAAATAAAATAAATAAAAACTAACGAAATGAAAGACACGAAAGATATGTGACTGAAAATTCATCTAAAAAGACATATAATTGTATATAAAAATGATATTTAAAAATTATAATTCTTTATCTAATTTTAAATAAAAATATCGTTTTAACGGATCAAATGACATAAAATGCGGAACTGATTTCTGCCTTTCATATCATTTAAATATAATAATATCATATATAACATAATTCATGAAAAAATAAGTAATATTTAATCTCTCAATTCAAGGAAATATTTGCATTGAATTTATCAAATAATAATAATATAATAGATATACAGAGAGAATGTATATATTAATATAATATCATATATATATATTTGTATTAAATTCGAGAAATATATATAAATCCTTAAAAAATTATTTATATCTTTAATCCCAAGTGTTTGTTCTCTGTATTGTTTTTTGTATTAAATAAAAAGCTCACAAAAGTCACAAATGTTTAATATTAAGAGATAACTTACTATAAAATAATGATAATAATAATAATACGAGATAAACAAACAAAATAATAATAATAAATAAATAATTTAGTTTCAAACTAAACTTACAGAAATAAAATTTACTTTTGAGTTAACAATAGGAGAGTTTATAAGTGAGACAAATGTTTTATTATACATATTTTTTTGTTAGTTTTGCATTGAAATTACAAATAATTTATTAGTTATTTTTTGTTGTTGAATGCATTTACCGGTCATTTGCTAAGTATTTAGTATTTTTGATGTCATTGTTTAAGAGGTCACTAAATAACTGATTTTTTATATTTATATAAATGAAATAAAGTAAAGTATATCGTATTATAATTGATGGCAAAATCTTTTGATACACAAAATAAAAATCTTAGACAATATCTAACATATCTAGTGATACGCTTTGTCTTTCAATAAGCTTAACGCTTAAAAAACTACTGTTATATGCGTTGATAATAAAAACATATAATTTATACTACTTTACTACTACTACTGTATATTTATATTATAATACATTAGTATTTGCCTTCAAGTGGTTATTAGTTTTTTAAGCAAATTATTTATTATTACATATATATTTATAATGGCAAATACATTATGGAAAATACAGTTTGACTGTATATTATTATTATTATCGATATTATAATAATATCATATAAAAAATATGTGAACTATAAATAATATTATATATACAGTATTTTACACATTGTTGTTACAACTTTTATTATCAGCAAATGGATATTGAATTTTATATACTCAAGGAATTAAAGTTACATTTAAGTAGTAATATTATAGATGACAATCGATTAGAAATTAAAATATTATTTTTTAAAAGTTATGTAATTTTCTTGAATACAATAATAATAATATAGATTTTTATACAAATTATCAAATAATTTTAATCCATAGT